CAATGATGGTGCCAACTTGGGCCAGTGAAGCAACATCCTCCACAACTAGATTGAAGAACAAAACGACAGCAACTTAGTTCCCCTTCCCCCAATTCCCCAGCACTGTTCCCATCCCCCCAATTCCCCAATAAAAAATCTTTAAAAAAACAAACAAACAAAAAAAACCTAAGTCAGATCATGTTATTAATACATCTCTGCTTAGTGTAATCCACTAGCTTCCCGTTTCACGTGCAGTAACAGCCAGCATCTTTACAGTAGTTTACAAGGCCCCACGGGATCTGTCTCAGGGTACCCTGCTGACCTCATCTCCCGCTCTTCTCAACTTTGACTCCTGCACGCTAGCCACACCCATCTCCTTGCTGATCTCCCAGCAGGACAGACACATCCTGGCCTTGACCTGCTGCTCCCTCTACCCTAGAACTCCACCTGGCTCTCCTTCATTCCTTCCCGTCTTGACTCAATTGTCACTTTGTTGGTGAGGTCTTCCTGACCACTGTAGTTAACACTGCAACCCCACCCTGCCCTGCCTGAGACACTCTATCCTCTTCATCCTCTTTCATTTTTTCCATAGCACCCATCAGCTTTCATACTATACGTTTTTACTTACTGTTTATTATCTATCTCCCACACTAACCTGTTAGCTCCATGAGGGTAGAGATTTTTTGTGCTTTGTTTTCACTGCTGTATTCCAGTGCCTGGAATACGGCCTAACACAGAGTAGGCACTGCATAAATACTTGACTGATTGATGACTGACTGAATGATTAAATGCTGCAGTGGTAGGAATGTACGTATCCAGGCTGGGGAGTAGAGGGCATGTAAGTTTACTGAAATAACCTCTAAATGCCAAGCAGTTTTGCAAGTTAATATAAGCCATCTCATTTAATTGTCACAATCCTAAGAGGTATTTTTATCCCAATTTCACCATGAAAACTGAGGCCCAGAGAAGTTAAGAAAACGGATGAAGGTTACACAGCCAGTGGTGGATCATAATTCAAACCTGTCTGTGTAATTCCAAAGTCCTGCTATTCCTACCACACGTTACCTCATTCTCCTTGGTAGCAGGAGATGCAACTTCTAAGGAAATGCAACTTCCAGCTAGTTCCATTTCACAGCAGGGGCCTGAGTAAAAGAGATCGTTCATCAGGGGTTCCTTGGAGCACTCATCAAGCAAAATAAACATTTAGAGCCTGAGTCTTTTGGCACATTTATATCAAACACTGTCCCTACGATGTAATGAACATCACTCTGAGGGAGCTTATCACTTTCAGAGCTTCATTCATTCATTCCATTCACTCATCGGTTTCATTCATTTATTCATAAATATTTGTTGAGTGCCTACTATGTACCCAGTACTGTTCTAGGCGCTGAGGATAAAAAGATACATACAGCACAGATGTCACTCCAGAAACAGACTTGAAGTCTAGGGTAGTATTGTCCAATACAAGTATAATAGAAGCCAAGTGTGCAGTTTTATACTCTCTAGTCGCCACATTTTCAAAAAGGTAAAAACAAACAAGTTGAAATTAATTTCAATGGTATATCTTTATTTAACCCAACATATCCAAAATAATCACTTCAACATATAATCAATGTAAATATATTATTAATGAGATATTTTGCAGGCTTTTTTTCTTTTTTTTTTTACCGTAACTCAGCTTTGAAATCGGTGTATATTTTACACTTACAGCATATCTCAATTCAGGTTAGCCACATTTCAAGAACTCAAGAGCCACACATGTGGCTAGTGATAACAGCAGTTGCCAGCACAGGGCTAGGGAAAAAGACAGATAACAGTCAAGGGGATTTTCAAAACAATACAGTTAATGCAGTGGTAGAGATATATTCGGACTCACCCAACTGCCAGTTAGGACTTGAACCTCCAGGGACCTTCCAATCCCAAAGACTTTGTTCCTTTAGCGGCACATTAGAGACTCTGCCCCATTTCAAACAATGGATTCTTGGGTAGTCTCAACCAACCAAACTTAAAATATCCAAAACAAAACTCATTTTTTAATTTCAAATACTGCCTCCCCCACCTCATTATCTATTTCAGTTGATGGCACCATTATCTACCTGCACACTCAAGTCATCCTCATTTCAGCTTTAGGTAAATGAGCATTGTATCTGGAAGGTCACCTAAAATCGAAATGCTTGTCCAAAAACGCACCTTCCTCTCCACTCCAACAAACTGAGCTTGTTCAGGCCACTTTCATCTCTCACAAGAACCTTCCCCACCCCCAGCTCTGTTGAGATATAATTGACATACATCATTTGCGTAAGCTTAAGCTGTACAACATAATGGTTTTACTTAAATAATTGTGCAGACTACCACAATAAGTTTAATTAGCATCCATCATCTCATATAGATTCAATAAAAAAAATTTTTTTCCTTAAAATTATGGACCACTTCATGAATTTGCGTGGCATCCTTGGCAGAGGCCATGCTAATCTTCTATTGTTCCAATGTTAGTATACATGCTGCCAAAGCCAGCACCACGATTCTTTTAATTGGTTCCCTTACCTCAGTCTCTCCTCTACTCAGCTTCAACAGTAGTTACTACTTCATAAGGCCCTATATGGCTCTCCATCCCCTACATAATAAGGTCAAGCTTTTTCACATAGCACAGAACTCCCTCTGGGATCTCATCTTTGCTTACCTGACAACGCCCTATTGTTTGCTGCTCCTGGACCCTAAACACGTTCACCTAACCTTCTCTGAGCCTGCTATGCTACTGTTCTGTAAAAACAGCCATCCTAATCTCTCAAAAAGTTGACCTGAGGTTTAAAAGAGATAGACTTTAAATAATACACCATCCAGGGCTAACTCTCCCCATCACTCCTTCACACTTTATATCTATCGAGTGCCTCTTTTCAATTCAATAATATTTATTGAATACTTGAGATGTGCCAGGCACTGTGTGGGACACAAGAAAAGTGGGTTAAATGACGTGATCCTTGCCTTCCCCAAGGTCATCACAAAGTAGTTTCTCAACTACTACCTTCATCCTTTAAGGACTAGATAATCTCTACTAACATTAAGAGCAAATCAGGCAGTCCTGGGAAGTTTCAGCCCGGCTGCGCCGCTGGGCCGCCCCCACGCCCCCACACCTCCGCTTTCCCCAGCAGCCACCGCAGATCAGGAAGCATCCCCAGCCCCAACACCAAGCCCAGGGCCTCACTACTTCGAACCGGACCAAGGCCCACGTGGCAGGCGGGGAGGGCGGGGTGTGGCGGACAGGAGGTGGGTGGCGGAGGGGAGGAGGGGAGGAGGGGCGGGGGTGGAGGGGACACGTGGCCTAGCTACGGCTGGGACCTTTGCGCCTGCGCGCTGCGGCCCGCTCAAGGACCCGGATTTAAAGAGACAGGCGCTACAACCATCGTGGCTGAGTGCGGCCTGTGGTCGCCGGGTCCGAGGCCTGCTGTGTGCGCCGAAACCGGGAAGGCAGGTGAGCGGCGGCGCGGCGGGGCCGGGCAGTGGGGAGGGAGGCAGCCCGGCACTCGGCGCGGCCGGGGAGCGAGCTCCCTCGGCTCCTCCCCCGCCTGCGGAGCCCGGGGCACACCCTCTGTGACGTGGTGGCCCCCCGGGAGTCCATGGGGGTTGGCTCGCGGCTGCCCGGGGGCCCCCGCGGGTCCACGCCAGGGAGGGTGGCTTCGCGGGGTCTGCTCTGGCACCGGCCAGGTCTGCACACTAGAGCCTTTCTCTTCCCGCCGCGTCCCCTTCCCCATCCCCGGGCTATGTCCTTGGTCCCCAGCCGGCCAGAGCCGGGGGATACGCTTCCACACCTCCTCCCCGGGCGTTCCCGGGGTCCGTACCTGGCTAGTAGCCCCTGCCCACTGTCCCGAAAGCATCGCAGGAAGGCCCTCCAGGAAAAGCGGCTGCAGGGCTTTCACTTCCCGATCCGGTGCGGCTCACTGGCCCGTGGCGGCCGGGGCAGCGTTCAGGCCTCAATGGTTTCCTTCTCGACTCCTTTTGATGAAAGGCTGAGCAGCGGCCGTTGGGGACCCACAGACCGGTTTCCTCAAAGCAGCGTTGTGCTTCTTCGTGCCCCCGGTGCTTCCTGGGCCTCCGGCCCTGCAGAGGGTAGAACGCTGCGAGGTGCCCTGAAATTGGCTCCTTTCATTGTGGGGGTTGGGGTCTGCTTTATGCATCGTTCTTCTGTGGAAGATGTTGAAACTTATAATGTGCTCTGAGCCCCTCCTATGGGCCCTGCCATATACTTTCACATACTTCGCCTCTGTGGTTCTTAAACTTCTGGGGGTTATAGAGCCCTTTGTGAATGTCATTAAAATCATAGACCTTCTCTCCCCCAGAAAGGCACATTTATGAATGTGCACATTTTGTATACACTTCCAGGGAGTTCATAGTCCCTAAACTGTGCTGTTGTTACACTTGAGCTCCCATCCTGATTCCCTTCTACCTGCCTTCCTCTGCATCATGTTGCGCTCCAGTAAGTGAAGCCTGCTTTTCATTATACAACCCAATGGCAGTCTCACCAAAAAGCGGTGTGCAGGCCAAAATAATTTCCAGTATATTTAAAATCCGAACTATGAAGATACCTCAGAAAATACGAATCTAAGAAGGTGGGAGAGAGATACTATGCCTTTCCCATGGGATTGATTTATCAGTTCCTTTGATCCTTGCTGTCTAGTTCCCTCAGCATTCCAATGATTCAAGTTGCCGAAATAAAAACAGGCTGATTGCACACAGAGAGCCTCTGCTTAAAGGTTCACTGCGTCACTGATTATTATAATAAGAGCTCACATTTACTGGGCCTCTGCTGTGTACCCAGCTCTGTTCTGAGGGCTTTACTCTTAGAATGACAACCCCTTGAGTTAGGTACTCTTATTACCCACATTTTACAGTTGAGGAAATTGAGGAATGGAGGGGTTAAGTCACCCAAGGTTACACAGCTAACAGGCTAGGATTTGAACCCAAGCAGCCAGGTTCTAGGCTCCTTTTAATTGCTTCGCAAAACAGGGCTTTTGATTAAATTACAGATCTATATAGTAGCCTAATTAGTTTCTGAGGATGGCATATATGTTATACTTCACATTACAAACTTCGTGAATGTAATGTAATTTTTCTTGGTGATTAAAAAGAAACTTCAGGTCTTGTAATACTTAGGGGTCATCATTCACTATGAATATCAAGTATTGCTGATGGCTGAGGAAAGCTCTTATGTTATTTGGATTCTCTTGATTGTGATTTACTAGTACATTAGATAATTGAACACCCTTTTGTAAACTGAATTTTCCTGTATCGGAACTCTTCTTCATTCTGTAGGCATTAAATCTTTAATATTTTGGGAAGTCTTTGATTAGTCACCATAGGCTGTATTAGGACCTTGGCCTTTGAGTAAATTGGAAGCCTAGCCCCTCGTTTAAATTTCACTTTTTTCTGCCTCTCAGCCTTTCATGCAGCTCTATGACTTTGGCTTTCAAGATCCTCTTCTCACCAACCCTCCGTGCACTCAACCGAAAAGAACTGTGCCTATTCCGAAAACAACATCTCTGGCCAGACATAAAACATTTTAGCTGGTGGTCAGAAGCGGATCAGTTCCCTGGGTGCTGCCTCCTCCAGAAAAGAAAGACTGTTCTGTCATCCCAGGAAGACAATCTAAGACCACGTGCCACCTGCCTTATCTTCTTGCCAGGGTCGCATGTGGGACTCTGCAGTGGGCCCTGTGAGATGGCCGAGCAACGGTTCTGTGTGGACTATGCCAAGCGTGGCACAGCTGGCTGCAAAAAATGCAAGGAAAAGATTGTGAAGGGTGTATGCCGAATTGGTAAAGTGGTGCCCAATCCCTTCTCAGAGTCCGGGGGTGATATGAAAGAGTGGTACCACATTAAATGCATATTTGAGAAACTGGAGCGGGCCCGGGCCACCACAAAAAAAATTGAGGACCTCACAGAGTTGGAAGGTTGGGAAGAGCTAGAAGATAATGAGAAGGAACAGATAAGCCAGCACATTGCAGGTGGGGTAAAGAATAATGCTTTCTCATCTTACTGGTGCTATGAGAAAAAGTGATAAGGAGAGTAGGGTCCAGTTTTTTTCTGTTTCTTTTCTTGTGTTAACTTTTTATTTGGAAATCATTCCAAACTCACAGAAGAGTTGCAAGAATAAAAATAGTACAAAGAACACTTACATTCCCTTTACCCAGATGTACCTATTTTTTTACATTTTGTTTACATTTTGCTGTCTTTGTTTTATCATTTGTGTTCATGTATGCTCTTTCTATTACTGTCTCCTTACACATACACACATTTTTTTTCCTGAACCGTTTGAAAATAAGTTCTGTATATAATGGCCCTTTGCCTTTAAATACTTCCGTGTATATATCTTGAGAATAGGAATATTCCCTTACATGACCATAATACAGCTAACAACTTCAGTAAATTTATCCTTAATATAATACTTTACCATCTGTATTCCAGTTTTGTTAACTGAGAAAATGATATCTTTTATAGCCTCCAGTATAGAATTCCAATCTAAGAGCAGGTATGGCATTTAGTGGTCATGTCTCTTTGGCCTCCTTTCATCTGGAACATGTCCATAGCCTTTCTTTAATGACATTGACATTTTTGAAGACGAGGGTACTGTACCTACCACCACCTCCTTTTATCTATCAATTTATTATCTGAATGGACTCATAGATTACTTCTTTTTCCTGGGGGCTTATAATTTTACTGTCTTTATTAATTTGGTACTTTATTGCCCCATATTTGGCCTGTTGGGAGTCCCTCTGAGCTGGTCTCTGTGTCCTGGATGCCCTCATCATTTAAAAAAGAAATGTTGTCAAGTACTCCTTTACTCTCTGGCATAATAGTATGCTCTGAGGCTTACCCTGCCCTGGAATCAGCCACTTCTCGAAAAAGTCCTGCTTCCTGTTAGTGGGCAGTGGCATTAGAGACCAAATCTGGATGCTACCTGCCTTTGTTGCCATGAAGTGTCTGCTTTTAAGCCCTTTCAGCAGCTAGAACTAGAAAATATTTGTATGTATAGACACAAAAACACATATATACATACACAGATACATATATGCACACACGCATGCATATTTACATGTATGCATATTTTAGAAATCTTACACTGATACTTCCAAATCCAGTTAGTCCTTTATGACCACAGTGTCCTCATCTTTAGAGTAATTTTCATATATTCATATTTTCAATGAACTATAGTTCTTGTCACTATAGGGGGACTCTAATAACAGTGGCTCTAAAAATGGGCGTTTGTCCTTATTCTCTGAAAGGAAAAAAGATACCCAGCGGAGAAAACTACTTCTCATATAGTCCTTTCTCCTGGTCCCTATCCTACCCTACCCTGCCTGAGCCATTGGCCTCGGCCTTTGTTGCCACTTGACCCATCTCATTCAGAGGAAGGGAAATACAAGGTAGAATTAAGCTCATAGCTCACATAGCTCACATAGCTCAACTAACTCAGCAGCTCGAAGTTTTCCTGCCTGTGCCAAACAACGTACTGTGTTATCCATCTTCATTTTACTTTCTTGTGCATCTGTAAATTGGGGCTAATTCCATGGAGCTGAGGTTCTCAAGTTTTATCTATTGATAAAATGTGATTTCTGATCCCCCGCCCCAAATAATCTTGAGATGATTATATGTGAGATAGGGGTAGAGAGTGTTGGTGAACATTTAAGTGACTAATAGAAGTAAAGGGTACCTGGGTGTTTTGTCTCCAGAATCGCCCCACGCCCACCCCCACCCATACCTGTTATTACCCACTCAAAGGGACTGGCCAGCCAGCAGCCAGCCTCAGGATAATGCCCATGGCAGCCACTTACCAAGCACTGCTCTAAGAGCAGTTGATAGATCCTTTGGAAGCTTTCTCAGGGACCTTTCACTGAAGGATATTTTCCTTTCTTTTGGGGTCCCGCAGACCTGTCTTCTAAAGCAGCAAGCACACCAAAGAAGAAAGCTGTTGTTCAGGCTAAGCTGACAGCCACTGGCCAGGTGACATCTCCCGTGAAAGGTGCTTCATTTGTCACCAATACCAATCCCCGGAAATTTTCTGGCTTTTCAGGTAAGATAGGTTTGGGCTCCTGTGGCTCTTATGGTCCCTCCTCTTAATTTGGTAGCCTATTTGGGACTCTAGCTAAGAGTGACAATTCTGTGCTATCTAGTCTCATGAATAATTTGCTTCCATCTGAGCAGAGACAGATAATGGCTAGTTCTCAACTTTACACCTGTGTGGCATTTCTTTATACACATTAATCTCTATTGCAGCAAAAAGATGTTCATTTTGTCGAGACTTTTCCCCTTGAAGTAGTTACCTGAGTCAGATTATTATTATAACCTGCTCTTTTATGTCCTTGTTTTTAGATAATGAAAGAATTTTGAGAAAACTGCATCCCTAAACTTGCCCATATAGAGTTGAAAGTATGGAAGAAGGCAGATGTCATGCATGCCCTATGTAACAGATAGCGTTGGGCTAGAGCTTTTACTTATGCAGTTTCGTTTGTTCTTTAGTTAACCTTCGGAAGCACTGTCATTAGGTCCATTTTCTGAATGAGAAAGCTGATGTTCAGGTTCATTATGAATTAGTATTTACAATGAAGTCTGTTTAACTCCAACACCCGTGCTCTTGCCCTATATCCTGTTGTGTCTTTTATTTGGAAACATTTTGCAACTGACTCAGGTAAGGAAAATGAAGCCAAAACACAGGGACTCAGAAGTTGTTTGGGGGCCGGCCGAGTGGCTCAGTTGGTTAAGAGCTCGCTCAAGAGTTTGAGCTCTGAGCAACAGCATTTCGAGTCCCGGCCCGAGCTGAGCAGCCACTGAGCTGCCAACAGGTGGCAGGATGGCTCAGCTGAAAAAAAAAAAATTACCAGAAGTTGTTTGGGGTGGTAGCTTTATGTGAGTGACAGAAGCCTAGACTTAAGGTCAGAAGACTTGGGTCCTGGTTCCAGCACTGTCACCTGACAGCTTGCTCAGGGGAGAGGTCACTTCCCCTCTGAGCCTCTGTGGCCTCATCTGTAAGTGGGAATGGCAGCACCTACCTCGTTCACTCCACAGTATTCTCATGAGGACTGAAGGAGATCAGGTTGTAAAAATGCTGCCTGACTCTGGAATTTTTATTTTAAAACTCTGAGGTTGGTTATTTTGTTTAATAGTCGGCTGAAAATAGAAATACAGAAGAGTCCAGGTGACAATAAGGACATATTTTTGGAAGGACCCTGGTCCCGAGGATGGAATTCGGGAGAAGTTGAGGGAAGTGGTGTTCTGGTTCTTGAAACCTGCTGAACATCAATGCTTTGGAGAGTCTGTCCCCTAAAATCCTTTAGACTCCGCGTCAGAGATGAGGATGCGTTCCTAATTCACATAGCCCAGACGAGAAGAAGCTTACATCAGCAGCGCACTTGCCAATGGCTCTGCTGCAAGCTTGCAGCATGAAAGTGATTTCGTAAATGGTCACAAGGACGTAAGAGGGTATCACTCAAGAATTGTACATTTATTTGGGGATGTCTGGCGAAAAGACCTGCTCATTGACTTTTTATTTTGACAGTAGGAAAGTGGTGGGGGGGGGAGTGGTGAGGGGCTGGGAATGTTTCTCTTCTCGGGCCTTGGGCTCATCAGTAAGAGGCGATCGAGCTAGATAACTTTTAAGGCTTCTTCCAGCTCTGACAGTCCGCAGTAGCACTGGTTTCACATTGACTTACATGCCCCTTGATCTCTCCCCCTTCCTCACCCCTGCTTGTTGGGGTCAGCTTTCCAACTGCTCTGAGATCCTCCTGGCCACTCCTGGCATGAAGGTGGCCTTTGTTCTTCTGTGAAGCGCTCATATAAAAGAGATGCACATCAGCTGGTTCTCCGCTTGGGTGTGCGGCCACTGTTTCTTCACCATTCGTAGCTGTGAGATTTGGGTAAATTATTTGACCTCCATTTCTTTACCTGGAAGACAGGGGTAATGATATCCACCCCAAAAGGGCTATTTGGGGGGATTAAGTGAAACTACATATAAAGCACCAGGAGAGCGCCTGTTACTGTTGCTTCCTTCTCAGCAAGGCAAAATGAATCATCTCTGCCATTCCTCTCCTGTTCTTTCTCCAGCGGCCAAGCCCAACAACTCTGGGGAAGCCCACTCCAGCTCTACCCCTAAGACAAGTCTGTCCTCAAGCAAATGTGACCCCAAGCACAAGGATTGTCTGCTACGCGAATTCCGGAAGTTATGTACCATGGTGGCTGAAAATCCTAGCTACAACACAAAGACCCAGATCATCCAGGACTTCCTTCAGAAAGGCTCGGCAGGAGGTGGGGCCTAGAGCATCCAGGGTGGGCTTTTCCTCTAAAGAGCTCAGAGCCATTGCTGGCTTAATGGGCATGTGAACAGTACAGTTGCACGGGGCCCCTTATTTGGTTTAATGCTGTGATTGCCGGCTTGAAATTCTTTTTTTTATTAAAGGTTTTATTGGGGAATTGGGGGAGGGGAACAGACAAGTTGCTGTCCTTTTGTTCCTCAGTCTAGTTGTGGAGGACGTCGCTTCACTGGCGCATGTTGGTATTATCATTGCACTCTTCCTGAGTGAGGCAGTTGCTCGCCAGCCCACAGCAGCCCAGGAAAGCTCATGCCCACTGAGCTTTCACGGCCAGCCCCACTGCAGCCTATGCAGTTGCTGGCGACTCATAGCAGCCCAGCTCCAGGTCTAGCTGTTCACCATCTTAGCTGTAGAGGGCGCAGCATCACTGGCCTTCATGTGGGATCTGAACCGGGTTCCTGTTGCTCAGAGCTGGCATCCCAAGCCAACTCTTAACCAATGCGTCACTCGGCCAGCCCTTGAAATTCTTAATCATTTGGAACAAAGAGCCCCACATTTTCATTTTGTACTGGGCCTCCCCAGTCCTGCTTAGAGCACGTTGGCATCTTCCCCTGCCTTTATTCTACCCTCCAGGAGGCTGGAAGAATCTATCCCATCTGACCAGGAGGAAAATTCACTATCCTGCATGTTTGATCAGGATTTTGTGAATCACATGCACAGCTTGGAACAGAATCTTCCAACTCTGCTTCTTGTATTCATCTAACAAACCATCACTGAGCACCTATAATGTGCTCATCCCTGGGGACGCTGAAGTGACAGTCATGGCTCTGCCCTGCGGGAGTCCCGGGTGCTAAATTAGGGGAGCAGACACAGAAAACCGCCAGCCACCGAACACTGGCCTCTGCTGCTGTCAGGAGATGCACAGGGCACTGCAGTAGTACAGGCAGCAATGTAGACATCTCCCTCGGTTCCTTGAGTTTATGTATTTGTTTAAGCTCCATTTCTCAAGAAGCGTTCCTTTCTTCTGTCTCCAGATGGTTTTCACGGTGACGTGTACCTAACAGTAAAGCTGCTGCTGCCGGGTGTTATTAAGAGTGTTTACAACTTGAATGATAAGCAGATTGTGAAGCTTTTCAGCCGCATTTTTAACTGCAACCCAGATGAGATGGCACGAGACCTAGAGCAGGTCAGAGGAAGGGACGGGTAGGCGGCATTTCAGGTAGGGTTCTGCCAAGCCAAGCACCTGCACCCTTTTTTCTGGTTGGGGCACAGTACTGTTTTAGGAACCTGAAACCCCTTTGAGCAAGCTTCTGTTAGGAGAGGAGCTGAATGTGAGGCTACAGCTGGTAGTTTCGCAAGGTTCTGAGGACTGAAGTCATACTGCTGCTGAGCCCTGAAAGCCAAGCTCTCTGGGTCAGGATTTGAGACTTCCTGCTCTGTCTCCTGGGGCTCTCATTCTGGACCCTATTTTTTCTTGCTCCCCCCCCCCCCTATAATTTGGGCTTACCATTCCGCTTTGGTTTGACTCCAGCCTTAGCACTATGGAAAGTTTCTATCCAAGCACCCTGTTATCTGATGATCAGATCTGTCTCTTAATTCAAATTCTAACAGGAATCAAATTGGCTCAGCCCTGGATTAGTCCTTGTGTCACTTTTCAGCTAAGGCAGGTGGCCAGACCCTTTGGTAGATGGAAGTACCCTTTTCAAGAACTGTGGGCAGGATAGATTCTCTAAGACATGAGGTGGATATGTGTGATCTGGGGACAGGAGCGATGATTGAAATCTCTGATTCAAGTCCTAGGGATTTGGGGGACACACTTGGCCACTCTGGGGCTGTAGCAGTGGCATTTGGTTTTTGGAGACAGGGTGACGTATCAGAGACAATCAGAGTCTTCTTTGAGCAGAGCAAGTCTTTCCCCCCAGCTGCCAAAAGCCTCCTTACCATCCAGGAGGTGGATGAATTCCTCCTGCACCTCTCCAAGCTCACCAAGGAGGATGAGCAGCAGCAGGCCCTGCAGGACATCGCCTCCAGGTTGGGGAGCTGCCCGATGGGATGGGGATGGGCTTGGGGAGACGGAACCGCTAGGGAGGGAAGGTTTGGGGGTCCAGAGCTCTTCAAAGACCAAGCTGAATGTGCCTCATCTCCTAGGTGTACAGCCAATGACCTCAAGTGCATAATCAGGTTGATCAAACATGATCTGAAGATGAACTCGGGTGCAAAACATGTGTAAGTACCAGCTCCTCTGAGCTTTGTTGCCAGCGGGTGTCAGGTCTTTGGAGTCCCGATCTGCATTTCAATCCTGATTCTACCTTCTTCCTTCCTGTGGGACCTGTCACTTGACCTAGTTCAGACTCCATTTTCTAATGTAAAATGGAGATAACAGTACCCTTCTCACAAAGGATGGAATATGTTCAGTAAGCACAGTATGAGTCGCTTGCCTACTCCAGCACCCGCTTTGCTAGGGCAGCATCCACACAGCCACGGTACCTCCAAAGAGCTGAGTCGTCCACGAGCTTTTTCACCTGTGAAAGTCTTTAGACAATAGAACTTCACCCCTTCCCCTTATATTGGGACTCCTCCTCTCTATGAGGTCAGACTCCATCCAAAGCAATAAGGTCAAAGGCAGTGGTTTTTGTTTCTGTGCTCCTCTTCACGTTGGCAGGTTAGACGCCCTCGATCCCAATGCCTATGAAGCCTTCAAAGCCTCGCGCAACCTGCAGGACGTGGTGGAGCGGGTCCTCCGCAATGAGCAGGAGGTGGAGAAGGAGCCAGGCCGCAGGCGAACTCTAAGCGTGCAGGCCTCGCTCATGACCCCAGTGCAGCCCATGCTGGTAAGGATGCTGCTCTGGCCTTGGTCTCTACTGCTCCAAGTATCCTGTCCTCCTACGGGAGATTTGGGAGGGTATGAATGCTGACGGCCCTGGCAAGTTGATTGCAGGAGTTTGGGGAAGGAAGAATGGAGATGCAGAGGGGTGTTTCTCTGCGGGGAAGTACAGGCAAAGGAGAAGACGGCATGACCTAGGAAATAGCTGAACTCTAGGCCCAGCTCTGCCACCACGCAGCTATAGAATCTTAGATGACTTCCTCAGCCTCTCTTGATCTTTAGTTGACTAATGTGAATGACGTATGAAACCCTCTGAAGCATCTACGTAGAATGGTTTATCTATCTTCTTTCCTGAAGGGAAGTAGATGTGTAAGTAACTCCTGAGGTTCTGTGACCTGCTGCTCCCAAGTAGCTCTGAGAGCTGGTGACAGAGCCAGGCTTCCTATGACACAGTGACTCAGGACTCCTTTTTTTCTGGAAAGAGGAAACAAGGAATGAAGACCAGCTCTAACAGAGATCATCTTGGACCTATGCTGTTTCATGAGAAATGGGATTTCCTTTGTGGCATTGGTTTTCTTGTGCAACAGGGCCTCTAGGTATGCTGCCATGCCCACTGCCAGATCCTTCGGTTTGTTCCAGTGGTGTGCAGTGCTTTTTATGAAACTGTCGTGTGTTATACTGAAGCCTTGGTATAGGGTTTTATGTTTGGGATAGAGAAGCATTGTCTCCCTCCTGGGAATGTGGGACAGCCAGCACCAAGATAGTGAGATCTCCATACCAGGGACGGGACCCCCAGTCACCTGCAGTAGCGGCCTTCCTGACTTTTATTCTTCTGGAGTCTGTTCTACAACCTGTCATTTAAAGAGTGGCATGGGTTATATAGCTTAGTGGCTAACCACACTCTTTGGGGTTACTACTATGTAACCTCAAGTGAGTACTTCTTTGAATTTCAGTTTTCTTATCCATAAGATGAAAACAATAATATCTATCACATATCACATTGAGGATGAAATAAAATTATGTTTATGATCTGACACCTAAATACCCCCCAAATGGTAGCCACGATTGTTGGAGTCAGGATGGCACAGGTATGTGAATAAGCACTCCTGTGTCATGCCCTGTCCTCGGGCTCCCTGATCACTGCCACCCTGTCAGACTCACTGTCACCTGCACTCTTTAATCTTAACCTCTACGTATCTCCTGTGCCGAGATAACTGATATGTTTAATAATAAGCCAGAGGCCCTGCAAGATCCTAAATTATTGGGGGGAAAAAGTGAAATGCTGTTTCAGTGGGATTTTATTTGCTCTATAAGGAATTGCATTCATATTCCTCAAAGTGCAAGCTCCAAATACGACAGTGCCCAGCCTTTTCCATTCGCATCTGTTCAACGGCCTACCCTGAGGGTGTGCTCTGACACTTAGTCCCTGGGACCTGAGCTCGTGGGCTGTCCCTGCTGAGCAGCCCCTCAGTGGAAGAGCACCTGGAAGTCTCCAGGCTTTTCTTTCCCTGCCCCAAGGCCGAGGCCTGCAAGTCCATCGACTATGCAATGAAGAAGTGTCCTAACGGCATGTTCTCGGAGATCAAGTATGATGGGGAGCGAGTCCAGGTGCACAAGAGCGGGGACCACTTCAGCTACTTCAGCCGCAGCCTCAAGCCTGTCCTACCTCACAAGGTAAGGTCCTTCGTTTCCACCAGGACTGTCTTTGCCTTCTGCCTCTAAAAACCTCAGGGCTAGAGCTCCACAGCCATTCCAGCTCTAGTACACAACAGGTTTGTTTTATATTGGTTGAATGAATGAATGAATGAATTCATTTATTCATTTTTGGACTCATCTAATAACAAAGGGCTGCTCAGTAGGCACAGCCAAAGAGCCCAGACTTGGGTTAGTCAGCACAAAGCCCCAGGGGACAGTGATGCCACCCTGCCTGCAGTGATATTGGGACAGTGAGCTCATCTGAGAGTGACTTGTAATGCGTATCTTTTGTGTTTCCATTTCCTGTGTGCTACCCCCTGAGCTAAATTATGGCTCATGTGCAAAGGGCTGTTGGGCTGTCATTCATGAACTGGTTCAACAAATATTCATCAATTGCTTAGTCTGTGCTAGGCACTGTTCTAGGTAGTGAACGTACAGCAGTTAAAATACAAAAGCACCAGTTTTCTGGCCCTCCAGAAGCTTCCATTCTGATGTGAACACAATCCCATGGGAGACATCTAAGAGCCCAGACTCCTGCCCTTAGGGGGCATTAGGAACCTCATTCCTCAGCGCTTCTTAGCTTCCAGGGCCTCTGAGCTTTTAGGGGTACCTTCAGGGAACAGCAGGGAACCTACGGCTCCAGTGGCTTGTGAGTAGATGGACTTCCCGTCTTTGCTGCCCCTTCTTTCCTAGCTCAGGGCCCTGGGTGGGAAGGGGCGTGGCGTGTGGCCTTACCTCAGCCTGGCCTCCTTGCTGGAGCCTTGAACAATCAGGCCATTTGTTTCAGTGTTCAATGGAGAGCTAAGCACCGGCCTCCCTGTGCAGCGTTAGTGCAGGTGCACCGGCTCTGTGGTGCATGAAACTGCTGAGGCACTGCCCCTGGGGAGGTGGTTCAGGGGGCACCTCCTGTTACCCAGGAAGAGGTTTGAGCACAGCTTCCCAGAGTTAGAGCCCTTTCTCTGCTCTCCTTACCAAAGTTTCCTTCACCCGTCTCTCCTGTGCTTTTGCTTCTAAGGGGACTGAAGCGGAGGGGGATGGATGTGTAGGCCTTTCCTGTCCCTGCTCCCAGCATCACAGGTATATACGACCTGTGTGCCCTGCCCAGGGGAGCAAATGGACCACAGTCATGCTCTCTGGACCTCACTGCTGGCATCATGTAGCGGGGCCACCGTGGATGACAACGGGACCTCTCCCTGTCTGGAGCTGTCAAAGACAAGTCCTCTGCCTGTATCAGGAAAAATCCAATTCCAAACATCCTTTCTTACTCATTTTGAAGATGGCTATGGGGTCACAGCTCCCACTCAGAGAAGACCTGCCTCAGGTTTTCTTGCTGTTCCTAAGGGAGTTCATTTCTTCCTTTCCATCTTTTTTCAGTCTAGCCTGTTTTCCCCCAACCTCTGCCTGCCCACCTTTCCTCTCTCCTGTGTTGGCCTGCTCCCACATACAAGGTCTGACAATTAAGTTCACGAACCCATCCTAGAAAAAGTGCTACATACCTCATTGCTGAATATCACTATGGTCACCTTCGAAGGACTCCTCTTGGGAAACTATGCACCGATGCCAGTGCCTAGTCCACCCTTCAAAGCAAGTTTGGAACTCTTTTTCTGGAATGGCCATCAGAGCTGTCATCGTATTACCTTGATATCCTGAATGTCATCAAAATGTCTTCCTTTCAATATTTCCTTTATCTTCGCGTAAAGAAAGAAGTCATTGGGGGCCAGATCAGGTGAGTTAAGGAGGGTGTTCCAATACAGTTATTTGTTTACTGGCTAAAAACTCCCTCACAGGGCTGGCCGAGTGGCGCGTTGGTTAAGAACTGGCTTGGGATTCCAGAGGGCCCCAGTACGGATCCCACATATGAGGGCCAGTGACACTGCCCTCCACAGCTAAGATGCTGAACAACAGCCCGACCTGGAGCTGGGCTGCCGTGGGTCACCGGCGACAGCGTAGACTGTAGTCCCCTGCTGCAGTGGGCTACCGTATGTAGCCAGCAGCCAGCGTGAGCAGCCAGCAGCTGCCGTGAACGGCCGTCCAGAGGCCGGCGACTGATCTGCCTCACCCGGGAAGAGCGCAATGATGGTGCCAGCTTGGGTCAGTGAAGCAACATCCTCCACAACTAGACGAAGAACAAAACAACAGCAACTTGTCTGTTCCCCTTCCCCCGATTCCCCAATAAAAAAAATCTAAAAAAACCCCAAAACTCCCTCACAGACAGTGCTGTGTGAGCTAGTGCATTGTCATGATGCAAGAACCATGAATTGTTGGTGAAACGTTCAGGTCCTCTAACTTTTTCATGCAGCCTTTTCAGCACTTCCAAATAGTAAACTTGGTTAACTGTCCAGTTGATACAAATTCATAATGAATAATCCCTCTGATACCAAAAAAGGTTAGCAACATCGGTGCAACAAGTTCGCGAACCTAATTGTCCCACCTCGTATTCTTTTTTCTTCCTTTTTCCTGCAAACTGTCCTCTGCAGCTCACAGAAAGTGACTTAGCATGGGCCGACCTCTTCCTGGGTCTGGACAGAGGGCCTGAAACACACCCTATTCCTCTTGTCCAGGTGGCCGACAGGCCTAGGTCTACGTTTTGCACATTAGCTGGTTTCCATGTTGGTGTTCTGTATTCCTTCTGGGGCCTGGGTTTGGTGTTGTGTGGCTTGGCTTCAGGTCCCTGCTGCCCACTTCTCCCTCACCTGAGTGGTCCTCCTGCCTCCAGGTGGCCCACTTTAAGGACTACATCCCCCAAGCTTTCCCTGGGGGCCACAGCATGATCTTGGACTCCGAGGTGCTCCTGATTGACAATAAGACAGGCAAACCACTGCCCTTTGGGAGTCTGGGAGTGCACAAGGTACTGGCTCAGGGCAAACGTGAAGAATGAGTGTGCACGTGTGCATGTACGTGTGTGTGCTGTTGGTCTGGAAGGGGGAGGAATACATCACGTGCTTAGGGTCCGGCTTATTCATGTCTGGACGGTTCCTGAGTTTATGTGTTTTGGATTTTTTGCATAAAAAGGAGCTAGTATTGGGAACGAACTTATAATTGGGTTGGTTTCCATTCAGGACCATCTGCTGAGTGCCTTTATGGCCAGGGGCTTCAAAACACAAGCAGGACTTTTCTACTAGGGGCTTCAGAGGGTCTCCAGAAGTGGACTAGGACTACCCCCTTTTTCATGCCCTCTTATTTTTGTCCTGCATGTACCTACCACCTCATTTTCCCTTACAGAAAGCTGCCTTCCAGGATGCTAATGTCTGCCTGTTTGTTTTTGATTGTATCTACTTCAATGATGTCAGCTTAATGGACAGGTGAGGAATCTATTTTCAGTTTCTAGGGGGGGCGATGGAGGGTTCAGATTGGAAAGGAGGGAGGGGAAGGGGCTGCAGCATGTACCTCTGTGCCCAGGAGCTGGGCAGGGCCGGGGCTGCAGCAGGAGAGAGCCCAGAGGTAGCACATGTGTTACCTAGTCAGCTCCCCATTCAGTGTCAGGAAGAGCAGATGTGTTGACTTGTCTCACCTCTGACAGCTTAAGTCACAGAGGAAACCAATCCTCCACCCTGTTTCTCTGCTATAGTGAAGTGGACTGTTGATAAGAAATAGACTGTGAACACAGTAGGGTTTCAGTTTATTTGTATAGTAGCACCCACGGGGACGTAAGGCAGATGGTTTTCAGCTCACAGGTTTTGTTTTTGGAAGAGGCCAACAACAGGAAGCTCATTATAGGGGGGCTGTGGGTGGGGCCATCTTAGGGAGAACTGGCAGTCCCGACTTAGCTGCCTCCAAATTCTTAAGCCCAAGAGAGCAGCGCTGGACCCTCTCCCGCTTAGAAAGCATCTCGGCTGCCACCCCTCCCACAATGGCCCGCATCCTTGAGTGTGGAAGGGGAAGGAAGTAGAAGGGAGCAAGAACTGTTGCGGGTCGGAGTTGGGGTTTGGCCTTCAGGTCCTGAGGCCTGTCAGCCTGCTGACCCAAGAACCAGCCAGCCTTGGGCCTGGGCAAGGGCAGGGTGCCGGGGACAAAACACGAGAGTCAGGCTCATTTTTCAAGTGGGACCAGAACTCATAGAATCTGTCGGGGCAAGAGGCCAGTTCTCCCGTGACTCGATGAAGCAGAAACGGGAACTACAACGATGAAGTGACTCTCCCTCAGCTCACAGTCGTCTGTCTTTGGTCATGACGAAGCCCTTGCCAGGCAGAACTGTTAGACACGCGTGCTGTAAGCCACTGCAGACCCTCATGAAGCAGTTTATCACTGGTCCTGTCCCTCCTTCGAACTCCTGAGGGGGATGGGAGGATCCTGGCCTGACCTCAGCTCTCCTGTCCCCCTTAGGCCTCTGTGTGAGCGGCGGAAGTTTCTTCACGATAACATGGTTGAAATTCCCAACCGGATCATGTTCTCAGAAATGAAGCGAGTCTCGGTGAGTGAAGGCCCCTCCCTGGGCAGCGTCCTAGTGGTTTGAAAGCAGGGTAGAGAACCCTTGGGGTCAGATGTGACTGGGAGTATGAGTCTTAATTATTTTCTATGGGGCTGCTGATGTATGTTGCCTACTAGTCTCCGCCTAGGAAGCCAGGGCATGAAACACCCTCGGTGGGGTCCCTGTGTCTCAAAGCCACAGCAGCGCTCTGGTTGGAAGTGTCCCTGCTTTGCAAGCCCTTTGTTCCCTGTATTCAAGTTGGGGTGTTTCCATTGGGCACTTTACTAGGGTGCCAAAAGGAAACACCTCATGTCACTCCCGCAGCCCCCCCTCAATTCTCACACTCTCTTCTCAACTTCTCTCCCGTTACCCCTCAGAGAGCTTCTGATTTGGTCGACATGATAAACCGGGTGATCCGAGAGGGCCTGGAAGGGCTGGTGCTGAAGGACGCGAAGGTGAGATGGCGCCATCCGTGGCTTTCTCCTGTAGGCTAAGCCCGCCCCGCTGAGCCTCCCCAGCCCTGGCCAGGAGGTGGCAGTGGCAACCTGAGGTGCTCGTGTGGGCGCTGAGCGGGCCTCTCTCCAGGGTTTGGACAGCTCTGTTCTGCATCTCGAGAATGGGTTGCTGTCCGTCTCCTGTAGTGCGTGAAGCCTAAGGGCTCTTCTCCGCAGTGGGATGGGCACTGTGACAGATGGGACAGGCTGCGTGAAGAGGTAAATCCCATCCTCACGGGGTTTCCATCCAGATCGTCGTCTCTCTCTTGCTTCCCTTCAGGGTACATATGAGCCTGGAAAGCGACACTGGCTGAAAGTGAAGAAAGACTATTTGAACGAGGGGGCAATGGCTGACACAGCTGACCTGGTGGTCCTTGGGGCCTTCTATGGGCAAGGGAGCAAAGGTCAGGGTGGCCTCTGGCCCCTGGGATGCTACTTCTTTGAAAGGCACCGCTCAAGGTAGAGGCTGGCCATTTTACGGGCTTGATGTGCCAGCAGGGCTAGTCCTGAGCCCCAGCCTGGCCCATGTCACCTCAGGCAGCCGTATCTGAGAGAACAGACTTGGGCAGGGAGAGGTCAGTCAAGAATACCCTGTGCCGGCCCAGCACAGAGAAGCGCACCACCAACTATTTCTCCGGCCTGGCAGCCTTCTCCTCAGGGCAAGTCTGTTTCCTGACTAGAGGGAAAGCTAAGGTGTGAGGAACTAGTACTTTTAGGCAATCTACTATGTGCCTGGCACTGTTCAATTCCTTTTACTCCTCACCGGAGCCCAACAAGTTCTGTGTGACTAGCCCTAATTTACTGCAGAGGAAATTAGGGCTCACAAAGCGTAAACATATAAAGCTAGTGAGATGTGGGTCTAAGAGGTGAACTCCGGCACTCAGACGCCAAGGCCCGGGCCCTCTCCTCTCCAACAGGCTGCCTCTTACGGGGTGCGTGGGGCTGGCAGAGAAGGCTCCTTCCACCTACCACTTAGCTCCCCCCACCCCACCCCAGGTGGCATGATGTCCATCTTCCTCATGGGCTGCTACGACCCAAACAGCCAGAAGTGGTGCACAGTCACCAAGTGTTCAGGAGGCCATGATGACGCCACGCTTGCCCGCTTACAAAAGGAGCTGGACATGGTGAAGATCAGCAAGGTGAGGAAGGGGCCTGGGTGGCCTCGGCCTCCGGATGGGCCATCATTACTGAGACGGCTGGACTTTGCGGGTCGCAGGGATCACTTACGTGCTGCTGCGTGGCCATGGGGCAGTATACATAGGCCTTCAAAGTCTGAGTGCCTACTTTGTGGGGACTGGGCCGCATGCCCTCAAGCCATACCCTCTCTGGGCAGGGAAGATCCCATGGGCTGAGGGTCAGCCCATGGCCAAAAGGGAATAGCCAAGGACAGTATCTTTTTTCCCTCCAGGATCCCAGCAAGATACCCAGCTGGCTGAAAATCAACAAGATCTACTATCCTGACTTCATCGTCCCAGACCCAAAGGTATCAACCTAGTGGCCTAGAGTCCTCCAGCTCACAGAATGAACTTGTACACTCTCTAGTGCCAGAGATGCCATCTCAGCCTGACAGTCCCCCCAGGGACAGCGATCTGGACTGTTCAGTCAAGTGGCAGGCATGGGGATGGCCAGTTAACACTGAGGAATCGTCCTCAATAGCGAAGGAAAGACACTACCCACCCCCCTAGTCCCAGAGCGTCAGCCCTAGAAGTGACCGGGCCAATCCCTTCTTGCACTGACAGAGAAACTGAGGCCCAAAGGAGAGAGAGGACTTTCCTATGGTCACATTGCATCAATAACGACAGTGGGACTTAAATCACCTCCCACCTGTTAAAACCTGCTTGGTTTTAACTGCTTTGTACTGCTTCTAGTTGGCTGGGAGATGTTTGCTTCTTAACCAGTGACCTGACTTCCTCCTGACAGAAAGCTGCAGTGTGGGAGATCACAGGGGCTGAATTCTCCAAATCCGAGGCTCACACAGCTGATGGCATCTCCATCCGATTCCCTCGCTGCACCCGAATCCGTGATGATAAGGACTGGAAATCTGCCACCAACCTCCCCCAACTCAAGGTGCCAGCTGCATGTGTGTCCCTTATCCCACTGTCCTGTCCCAACCTTGGAACCTTGGGCATCTGGCCTGTTCACATGTCCTGTCTTCTTTCCCCCGTTCCACTGAGCAGGGCAGAGAGGGCAAGTGGAAAGGGAGACAGAACTGCTGACCGGCCAGGAGCAGCCGCGACGGCTTGTGCTCTCACAGCATCCTGCTGAGGGCATGGCCCCAGGCTACAGCCTCTGTTATTGATGAGAACTGGGGAACAGAGAACTGGGATTTGTACCTGTTCCTCAAGGAAACAGCCAGTTTAGAAAAGCACCAAGGAAGCCAGCTGCTTTTCCCTGCTGGTTCTTTCTCCCGTTAGTTCCCCAGTCACATGCACCGAAAACACACCTGTACACAGACCGCCTCTGAAGCCAGTGGCTAGGAAGGGGCTACTACCTGCCATTGTCCCTCCCCGCTCCTCAGGAACTGTACCAGCTGTCCAAGGAGAGGGCAGACTTCACTGTAGTGGCCGGAGACGAGGGGAGCTCCACCACAGGGGGCAGCAGCGGAGAGAATGAGGGCTCCTCGGCGCCTGCTGTGTCTCACAAGGCCAGAGCCCCCCCTGAGCAGCCCTCTTCCAGTGCCAAGAAGGTCGGAGGGAAGCTGAGTAGCCCCCACAGCAAAGGCGGTAAGGAGAGGGAGGGAGCTGGGGTGATGACCAGCACAGGTGAGGGCGGGGTCCAAGGGCAGACTCAGTCTCCCTTTCCAGCTCTGAGCGTGGGAGTCTCTGTCCACTGCAGCTGACACTGACTGTGTTCTTGTGTGTCCAGCCATGGGGCAGAAGCCATTCTGCCCCGCACCCTCCATCTGTTCAGTGAACCTGATAGGACCCTGGGAAAGCCCATCCGATCTGGGGATGTTACCTCTGAGCGCCCCCATGCTCATAGCGGACCAAGGCCTGGCCCTCTCCCTGCTGCCCTAACTTCAGAGACCATTATCAGCTCCCTCTATGCTGTCCCTAGTTCTTATCCCCAGCTCTCTCCTGCAGGCCACAAGGTGATGACAAAGCCTTCCCCTGTGAAAGGGGGAGAGAAGCTGGCCATGAAGTCTTCCCCTGTGAAGGTGGGGATGAAGCGGAAGGCTCCTGATGATGAGACCCCGTGCCAAGCAAAAGTTAGGAGGGTAAGTAGAGCAGCGCGCATGGGGCTGGCCTGGCCCAGGGCCTCACGTTCCCAGCCGTCTGCACTTGAACTTTGAGATGAGCCACGATGTGTTCAGGACTAATGGCCAAAGCCCCTCCCCTCCCGCAGGTCCTGTGTCCTGGGCGGGGCTAGCAGTGCTGTGGCCCCACCTTGTGCCCTCTCATTGCCTTGCAGAGTGGGCTGGCCAGCAAGCTGAGAGCAAGGAGAGCCGTGCCTGCAGGCAGGAGATAGAACAGCCCAGCCTGGCCGAGGGATTGCAGGGACATTAAAGGGGAGAAAGCCCAGTCTGGGTGTGGGAGTGCAGCAGTGTGAGTTTGTGCTGGGGCGGGAGCAGAGCCAGCCAGCGAGGAGGGGAGAGGGCTCGCACTGCCTGGACAACATCCTCCCACCTGAGGAGCCTTTCCCCTTTGGCACTCCCGTCTTTGGTTGGAGGACAGCTACCAAGCACCTATTGAGGCCAGTGACTGGGCTCAACTCTGGGGGAGCTGGTGGCCCAAAGGTAGAGAGAGAAGTAAACAAGTGGTAACCATCCGGTGATTGCACCACCCACACCCCGCCAGCCAGGAGTAAGCACAGAAGCCTGCAGCTCAGGCCCCTCCCCGGGACCCAGCTCCGAGCCCCTGGCAGATCTAGAACCGTTCCCCTCTTTTCCTACCTGCAGCCCGTGCGTCCATGCACAGTAATGGGCTGTCCGTCGCTGGCTATTTGTACACCATGGGCTGCTCAATTGAGCGGTGTCACTGAGTGAGAGCCACCGGCCCTGCCCACAGCCACTGGGTGGTTCTTGGAGACTCGTACTTTTCCCTTCGCCCTCACTTTCCCCGAGGCAGGAATGGAGGGGAACATCAGTCCTGTGGAATCTGACGTGGCTGCAGGACGGGGGATTTGATGCCTGTGCCTTTTCTCCAGTAATCTCCTGCTGGTCTTTCCTGACCTCTAGGCTGCCTGTACCTGGCTTTTCCTAACCCCACTCTCTGGGCGGTGCTCATCTGGGTGGAGACCCATGTGCCCCCAGCACAGGAGCAGCCCCACCATGACCCCACCCTGACTCTCTGCGTTTGCAGGTGCTGCTGGACATCTTCACGGGGGTGCGGCTCTACCTGCCGCCCTCCACACCAGACTTCAGCCGTCTCAAACGCTACTTTGTAGCATTCGACGGGGACCTGGTACAGGAATTTGACATGGCCTCAGCCACACATGTGCTAGGTAGCAGGGCCAAGAACCCGGAGGCCCAGCAGGTGTCCCCAGAGTGGATTTGGGCATGTATCCAGAAAGGGAGACTGGTAGCTCCCTACTAGGACTGCTGCCTTCCCTACCATGGGCTCCGGCTGGGGCAGAGCAGAGGGGATAGACTTTCTTCTCCAAGCAGTGCGCCTTCCGAACCCCACCAACCGTGCATGGTCTCTCCCCAGTCAGGAGTCAGGTGCTACGGGCGCCACCATGAAGGCAACTCTCCCGCTCATTTACATAGATCTGGGTGCTGCTTTATCGTCTTTTTGTTTTCTTTAAAAACAAGCTTTTTTTCTTATAATAAATAAAATATCTGTGGTTTTCTCTGTCCTCCCACCCCCTGTAATTCCCCAGTGGCTAAGGACTGAAGCCACAGCAGGGCGCCTGCAGCTCCGGCCCCAGCTCATCCGAGTGGCCGCCTTCTCTCCCTGCGCCGCTTACTTCGGCTCATCGGTATTGCAGACTGCCCTCCCTCAATGCTGCTTCTACTTGGCAAAACTTGTATTCAGCCTGGCCCTTTTTTTGCCAGGAATGAAACCTCATTTGAAAGAAAACAAAATGAATTTTATGACTTGTCTGTGTTCTCCTATCACAGGGTGTGGGCCTGGTTTGAAGGGAGGGAACCAGGATCAGGTAGCAAAATGGAGCCTTTATGGAGAAAAGGGAGGTGGTTTGCGCTACTCCTCTGGGGGATGCAAGGCTCCAGGAGGATCTGCTCCCCCAAAAATCTGGAAATAAGACTGCTCTTGAAGATAAAGCCACCTGAGGGGTGGCCAGTTAGCTCAGGTTGTTAGAGCGCAGGCTTATAGCACCAAGGTTACCGGTTCGGTCCTCACATGGGCCACTGAGATGTGCCCTCTACAACTAGACTGAAAACAATTACTGGACTTGGAGCTGATGGGTCCTGGAAAAACACACTGTTCCTCAATAAAATTTCTTAAAAAAAAACAACACAAAAAACACCTGAGGACAATTCTGCAGCACAGCTTACTTAACAAGAAAGGTTCCTGATTTATTTGAATAAAAGGAAAACAATAGTGTGGACTAGTGCTGTGCTATTGAACAGAACTTTTTGCAGCAATGCAAACAGACTGTAAATCTTCACTGGCCAATATGAACTGGCCACATTGGGCTGTGGAGCACCTGAAATGTAGCTAACAACCGAGGAGCTGAAGATTTCATTCTAACTCAACTTGAAATGATCACAGGTGGCTACTGACTGCCACACTGGACAGAGTAGGTGTATGCGTAGACCTGATTCAAATCCAAGCCCTGAAATTTAATAGCTATAACCTTCTGCAAGTTTCTTAACAGCTGAGCCTCTAAGAGGAATGGGGATAGGAATTGCCCCTAAATCACAAGGTTGCTGTAAAGAGCAAATGGACTCAAGGTAGGTTCTGTAAAGCACTCACCACACACAGCCTGGCACAGAGTTGGGAAAATCAACATTAGCATGCATGTCCAGACCTACCCAGGAGAGGGGAGGCCTGGCTTCTAACCAGAACTGTCAGGCCACTTCCACAGCCTCCTGTGTGTGACAGCTCACGCTCTGGTCTGAATGCAGGCGCATCAGGTGGCCTCCTGATTAAACACTGGCTTCCGTGTCCTCCGATTGGCCTGCTCCTGAGGGTCAGGTCTCTTTTTTTCTTATATCAAAGTGGCAGGCTTGATAGCCATTCCCTGTGAGGTACGTTCCAGAGGTGGTCATATTCACCTGAGTGTCTGGGTCTGTAAGACTGATACCACTGCCTCCCTCCAGCTCTCTGATGTGCTCAACTCGGGTAATACACTGCCGGGAGGCTGCTGGCCAGTCAGCCTGGAGGCCAGCTTTAGCCTGACTGACTTGGGTTTCCACCTGCTGATTCCAATGTGCTGGGAGGAAGGGGCAAGACGGGAAGGTGCTGCCCTGCTGTCTCTAGCCCAGAACATTGGGTGGTTGTGAATTGGCACCGTTCAGTCTGGCTTCAGTACTGAGAATAAGACACTCTTTTTATTCTATCCTCTGCGAAGACAAAAGCTGCTGCTCCTCTGAGAACTGACCTACATAAATTCCCATCCCCCTCTCCAGCCTCCTCAGGCCAAGCAACTGGACAGGGAGGCAGAACAAGGCTCTCCCCTCAAGATTCTGCCAAAGGACACTGACCCAAGCCCACCTGCCCTCACTGGGCACTTAACTCACGGTGCACCCTCACAGCGAAGGGCCCTGCCTTGCCGGGCGTTATCTTCAACTCACTGATCACGGTGTTTTGCCTGTGTCCTTCTAGTCTTTCTGACGCGTGTTTTCCTTTGCTACTGAGATTGTACCGAATATACAATTTTTTGTATCCTTTCGTGTTATATTCACAGACCTTGAGGCTTTGTGTAGATGCTGCTGCTTAGCAGCAGAGAGAGGTCATCCTGGGCGCTCAACGAGTCATCTGCCTAGAACAATGAGGACAACGGCTGTGGCTCAGCCTCAGGCCTTTACGCACTTTGGACAAAATCCCCTCCTCTCCTCAGTCACAAGGCAGGGCTGCACATACTCCAGCTGTCCTAAAGGCTGCATTCGCAGGAGTGCCCTCCCCTGGGCACCTGGTCAAGGAGGTGTGTACAGGTCTGCACACAGCAATCTGCCCACAGGCTGGACCAACCTCTGAGCCACATTCCAACGATCACAGCTGTATCCAAAAGCTACCATCCATCTCTCAGGTCACCTGAAGACATAACTGGCAACACTGGCTGTCCTCTTACTCCTTTCTACCCTCATCTTTAAGGCCCATCTCTACCAAGTCAGTGTCAATGTCTGAACTCACTTGGTATTTCTTGCCATTTGGTTTTAGGGCTGATCCTTTTTTACCCAGCTCCCACCCTCTTTTAGGCTGTTCCATGACATTTCCCACATCCTAGTTGTGAGATCTCAAACAAGTCACAACACTTGAGCTTCAGCTTTCTTGTCTGTTGGACAGGGATATCTTGACCAAAGCCACATGGCCCAAGCATCTCCAAAAAGAGTGCAGTCTCTCAAGAGCATGTCTATGTGCACACGGCCTGGGATGAGCCTGTGGTTCATCAGCTCTTGTCAACCTTCACTACCACACCCCTGGCATCCTCACACCAGCTGGGACAGGCGTCTATATGGAAACTTTATTACAAAATTATAAAGCAGAGCTCTGTAACAAAAAAATACACGTTTGGGTTTGTTTTAACACCCAAGTCTGAGAGAATCTTAATGTAAGCCACTTGAAGTAACAGTCACATCCAAAAGATTTCAACAAATTTATACAATATATACTGTACAGCTGCTGCTTACTAGTTTGGATCTGAGTATTCCAATGAATTATGAACTAGTCAGCTCTCCAAGTCTTTTAAAACAAGTCTCAACTGAAATTTCTGAACAGTCACAGCAAAAGCCACAGAATAATTGGAAGAATTAGATGCTTCCATGATAGTTAAGACCAAGGATCCATGAGGGACAGGACGGAGCATTCAAGGATAAAAATAAAAATTTCTACCTACGTTAGTCGGTGACTGAAATGGGATCTTAGAATCCCCAATTTTTATTTGGTGTAATAATAAAGAAGATAACAACAAAAACAATCAGGGTTGCTTGACACCATTTTTCTTAAATGAAAACCTTCACCAAAAGGTTAGATTTCAAGGCAAGTTCTTTCTCTAAAATGAGGAAATGGCATCACTTCTAATTCTTACTGAGGTTACTAACCAACCATTAGGGTATTTTAAACTCATGTCTAGGAGGGAAACTGGGAGGTAGGGAGAGGTAAGGCCTCAGCAGAGAAAGCAAGTTTTAAGTAGGGAGAGAGCCAGCTTCTGGCCTTAAGGTATTGCTAGATCTTAACTGAGTTGCATATATATAAAGAGAGAGAGCGAGAGAGAGAGACCTGTTTCACAGTGGAATCGAGGAGTAGCTGAATCCCTTGCTAAAATGGTAGGTATTGTAAACTACAGTATTTACTGTCCAGCAGAACGATGTCTTCACAGGAAAATCTCGGTTCCCCCAATTCCAACAAAGGCTGTATGCAGCCCAGAATCAAATCATCTTGGACTTGGGATAATGTCAAGGTGAGTGGCCCAGTGCTCAGCTGACAACTTCATGAATTTCATTCCCCCAGAGGGGGTTAGTGGTTGATGGAGGAAAAGCATAAGTATGTCTGTACCAATAAATAGGTCCCCTTGGAGGTTTCCCACTGCTTTCCAGAGTCATGAGTGGGTCTTCTAGTGTGAGATCTTGGCTGCATGGGGGGGGGGGGGGGAAGGGGGGAAGGATCTGCTAAGGCCCCAGGTGTTGCGGGTTTACATAGTTCGTCCATTGGTAATGGTAGCGCACACAGCTCTTCTGATAGCATGTGTGTTTGTGCTTGGCTAAGCTATCCCAGCAAACTTTTCTTTAGCCCTTTGGCTCTTCCAGTGGTGTAAGGACCCTAAAAGGGCTCAAGAACATGACCTACTCATTGCATGGTCCTTCCTAAGGGCCTGGAGAATGCTTCCTCGCCTGCCCAAATCAGTAGACTGAGAAAGGAAAGGGAGTAGGGAGTCCCCACCAACCTGGGGAATCAAGGCTTCCAGCTGTGCGCTCAAGGACTGAAACCAGCCTCAGAGAGTACCTTCCAATACCTCTTAGGTGGTCTGTGTCTTACACGTTTGGTCTCCAGGAACTTCATGAAAAGTCTGACTCGAGAAGAGCAGGCTCTTTGCCTAAGTGTCTATGCCTTCAGTGAGACCATGTTTAAAACCTCCATGGGAAAGACAGGGACTTCATTCTCAGGAGACAAAGGTTTAAAACTCCTGTCTGTTGGAGAAGTCAAAGTTAAGCAGAAAGGCATTGCTTCCACCCAACACCTTCCCTTTCCTCATAAACTAAAATTGAGGATGGCGCAAAGTCAGACCCCAAGAGAAGCAGCAGATGACCCATGCCCCATCTCTTGCAGAGACTGGAATTTCCCTGCAGTTTGGGAACCAGATGCCTTGTTGGCTCCCAAGGTCAGGTCGGGAGACCGACAGCTTCCAAGCCCAGCACTTAAGGAGGCAACTCTTAATGAATTTGAAGTTTTTCAACAGCATTTGTTTCATTTCTCACCAGAGGATCACTACCGGTCTGGTAAGCTGACATCTTTTTGGTCTGAGGAAACAAATGGATTTTAGGCAACGTAGCAACTTGAGCACAGATAGCCAGAAAGACCAGAAATAAATCCAAATGTGCTGGGGAGGAAGATAACCATTTCTACCAGGACTTCTGATTGGTGAAACACAGGCAAGCAGCTCAGGGGGATGGGTGGGGTACAGGAGGGAGGAAGATATGGTCCAAGTTCTGGGAAATCCTCTCTTCATCAGTTACCATCAATACCCAAGACCAGCGGAACAGACACTTGCCCATGCGACCCATACCAGTTCTCACTGCCTTGGGCTCTGCCAGCCAAGAGGCACCCCTCTGTGGCAAGACAGGCATACCCAGAGGCGACACAGCATCTTTGCCTGCCCTGGTCTTGGGAACACCAAGTTTTCTTGTTAGCCTGCCCCTCTGCAAGCTGGCTGACCCTGAGCCCAGACACCTCGCACTGTGTCCCCATAAGGCACTGAAGAAGCCGGTACCAAGCCAAGTCCTCAGGATCGGAAGACGTGCACGGCTCGGATCACGTACTGCCGGCAGATGGGGCACTCATTCATGCGCTTGCCACACTTGGTGCAGGTTACCATGTGGCCACATTCCAGCAGAACACAGTCAATGGGTGAGTCCATGCAGATCCTACACAGGTTCTCTTCCAGGCTGGATGGCACTGCTCCCCCTGTACACACACAGGACAGAAGAGGAGCAGAGGGGAAAGTGAGTGAGTGCGGTGGTGGGGGGATGGAGGCGGGAGAGGACAGGCACACTGAGAACAAATTCCCCAATCCACACACTCCCCCTCAAATAGAACTCCAAGAAAACATTTCCCCAGTAACCAATCCCAGTTGCTTATTTAATCCGCACCTGCGTAGGTCAGGTTATAGATTTGAAGAGTAAAGTACCTGTAGATCAAATACATCCCAGAACATAAGAACTAAGTAAGGGAAAGTCCTCAAAGCTTAAAAGAAATCATTTTCAGATAACTGATGCTGTAATACAGTGAGTGAATGCCACTTAGGGGCTCATTATCCCGAGGCAGAACATGCTGAAAAGATAAGACTGGTTCAGAAAAGTTTAGATATAAATGGAACCGTAATGAATGGTCATTAAGGCTCGCAAGTCTTATCCGTAAACATATCCCCAATTAAATAAAGCCAAGGATCAAGGAGACCCCCTGTGCTATCATCCCACAGGTTGGCCCCCAGGGCTTCCTGTGAGGAGCTTTCCGGTGGAAGAGCCCACCAGAGATTAGAGCTCCCTCTGTGCTACCCACAGAGCTGCATCATACGCCCACGGCTCCTTAGCACACTTGTTAGGATTCTCGAGTTTGCCTACTTATCTCCCCTAGTACACTACTGAGTCCCTCAATTCAACAAATTCAGTCAGTCTCTACAATTATATATACTTAGTATCAGCTACGTGCTCTGAGGTCAGATACCCATCATTGAATCCCAAAAATGCCAGTCACGTGGTAGATGTTCTCTAAATGTCTGATAAATGATCATCTCCCAAGGAAACCTATCAGCTCCCAACAGGCAGCGTCCTAAGAGCTTTGCATATTTTAACTCATTAAATCCTCACAAAAACTATGAAGTACCTACTCTTATTACTCATTTTATAGATGAGGTAACCAGCCAAAGAGTTAAGTGGCTTGCTCAAGGGCACACAGCTGCTAAGTAGAAAAGCCAGGATTCAAATAGAGGCAGGTGGGCATTGTGGGCAAGTGGCCTAGGGCAGTGACTACCAAGGTGACAGTATTAACTGCTCAGCATGTTTGAAGTAGTAGCCTGAACCAGGCAGCCACAGATAGGGAACAGGACTTGCACCAGGCACCTCTAGCATTCCACAGGGGAGTTCTCCCGTACTTTGTTGCTTCTGCACTTTCTTTTCCTGCTTCCTGGACTAGTCAAAGAGTCAAACACTCGAGGTGAGCTGGCTGTGAAAGGGAAGGAAATCTACTCCCCCCTTTGTGGCGCTACTGGCCCTAACACGGAAGGTTTGGAAAGGACCAAACTGCACAAATGCCTAAGATGAGCTGCAGTAACTTTCATTATTGGTTACTTCTCTTAGGAATAACAATCAACTCATCGATTCAATTGCCAGCACTCTCCCAGGGAATGAGAAAAAGGAAGGCAGGCACCACATGGGCCAGCATGATCTTGGGATCCAGGTGAGGGAGCGGATCTAGAATTCCAAATGGTTTCAGGGAACTCAGGAGAGCTCAACTCTTGATCATATATCAGCCTGAAGACGGCCCCATTCTCAGGAAAAGGCCATTTTACTAAATAACAAATTCGGAGAGTCTTCTGAAAGTTTTAAAATGCTTCCCAGGCCCCTGCACTACTCTGAGAACATTCTCTCTTGGGGAAGAGCTCACAACCATACACAGCCTGGAGGCGTTCAAAAAGGTACAGTAATCCAGTCTGATTCCAGCAGTACATTCTGGGGGCACCCAAAGGCCCAGCGGTGGTCTTTAACACACAGGTGGGTGAGGGGCAGCTGAGGTGGGACATGCTTCTAGGGTGCCTAGAGAGCACCCTGTGTGACACCTTTTTTTATCTGTCCCCCGAGCAGCTTTCGCCACTGCCCAGCCCTGTGCAAACAAGGCTCTCTCAGGTCACCACCCTTTCTTTTTGGCTGGTCCCAGAAGCTATTAAACGTCCCAAATATTTCCGTGAAGGTGCACGCAGAAACCCTCCTCACTCAGACCAGAACTGAGTGAAAACTACAGTGGAAGGGGTGCCTTTTCACCAGGAGTATGAAAAATGAACCAAATATGACACATGCCACCGCTCACTTTGTTAATATGTTAACAAATGCTGGCTTCTGAGCTCTGCAAGCCTGAGATGTGCAAATCAGCCTGCCCCCAGGTATGCTGCCACTCCTCCGCCTTCACAGGGAGGGGAGAAGAATCTAAAGGTGCCAGAAGCTCTGGTTCTCAGTGCGTTTCCTCTGTACCCTCTGTTTGGGAGCTGATATGCCCAGAATTCTTAGACTGTTAACAGGGATCAGGGTTGAGGGAGGGGAAGGAGAGAGAGCTAAGAGCCTAAGCCCGTTCCCAAACAGAAACAACTACATACCGTTTTGGTCTTCAGCACCACACACTGAAAAGGAAAGAGAAAGACGATGTCTGAATATGTGATGGTACGAGGAAAGTCTCCAGCCTCCCTGACCTCATTTCTGACCTCTGACTATCTCCCTGCTGGAAACCAGGACGGCTGAGAGCCCAGACAGTCGCCATGTCACCCTCCTCTCTCACTCCACATGCTGAGAGCTCACACATAGCTCCTGCTGCTGTGTCTGTCTGGTCTTAGGAAACGGGATTCCACTGGTTTGCATGAACCAAACGGCCAAGTGGGAAAGATACTGCACAAGCAGTTACCTTTTCCTACCGCTTTTAAAGACAGCATTAAAGTCAAGAAAGAAGGGACCGTCTGTTCTAGCCAGCCAGGGCATCTGGATGAAGTTCCCGGGTGGAGCCATCTCCCATTCCCCATGTCCTCACAACTCCAGGGAGATTCGGGGGACAATCCCAAAGGGAAGAGTGAGTCTGTGATCAGGTGACTGGTCAGATGTTCCCTAAGTCTGATGAATTTGAGCTACTGGGAGAGGAGAGCCTGAAATCTGACTTCAACTACTGTTAGCACGCAAGGAACCAAAATGTTGATCTGGAGTTAAATCAGTTGGGGAGGAGAGGGTGGGTTCTAGGTGAAAAATCATTTCAGGAAACGCGGAGTTCAAAACAGCTAAACACATTTCTCTTCTGCAGGACTTGTCTGCCTTAGTAGTGGAGTATCTACAGTGAATCAGTAACAGGGAGGCATAATATATTTTTTCCCAAACTCATTTGACCACAGACCTAGATACTACACTGGGCATCGCCTGAAAATGATACCAGGTAGGATGCTTTGAGAAAATGAATAAAAGGAAAAGCCCAAATGCAGGCAGAACCGATCTTCTCCTCACACCATGTGGACAAAGATTCGCTTCCTCATCTCCCGACTGCTGGAAACAGCACTGTGGGAGAGAGCAGTGAGTCCGGTGGGGGTGACCTATGGTGGAAAAGGCCATAGACTTGTACCAGGAAATCCTCAGCTCAAATCTGGGCTCCATAATCAAAGGGGGATGCTAACACTGTCTATTTCATAGGCTGCTCTGAGGAGTCATTAAATGTGTGCAACGCCCGACCCAGTCCCGGCCCCCAGCTCCTACTGACAGCTGTTACTAGGTGGTACAAATGTGTCAGGTGGCTCCTTCCTTGGAAGGTGCTGTCGTGCTTTCGAGTGACAGCAAGCAGGCCAGGTTTGTGTGCCGGGTCCACCCAGACAGCCCCTCACCCAGGTGCTGGAGTCCTTTCTGATCCTTGTACAGCCGCGTCACCCGCTCCATCAGCTCCCACTTCTCACAGCAGCCCTTGTAGTTGACGAAGTTGCGAGCCAGGATCTCCTTCAGCTGCCGCACAGTCAGACCTTCAATGTCCTCCAGGTCGGTCAAGTCGGACAAAGAGGCTCTTCGGCCCGGGACAAAGCTGTCCTCTGAGTCGACGGACTGAAAAGGCAAAGATGAGATCGGTGGGCTCAGCTCTTAGCCCCCCAGGTCTTTTCTGTCTCCAAGGACCCCAGAGCACTCATCTCACCTACTCACGAAGAGTAGGAACAGTGGCAGGAATAGTACCTGAATTGGTGCTTTGCATTGCAAAACAGACCACAGGCTCTTCCTGGCCCGCAGCTGTGCTCAGGCACAGCCAGCCACAGACCAAGCAGTCGGTGTATATAGCAGCAGGAGCACCAAAATTTGAGTCAGATGGCCCTAATTTCGAATCCTAGCTCCATCACTGATGAATGCTAAATAATATCAGGCGAGGTGCTCACTTCTCTGAGCCTATCTGCCCCTCCATGAAGGAGAGGTAGCAGTCCCACCACACAGGCTCCTGGGCAGAGTAAACGTGGCTGGCACTACAAGAAACCACCAAACATGGTGCTACCCACCCTCTCTCTCTCCGCTGGCGAGTTCTGCTTCCCACCAAGAGGCAGACTTCCCTGACATGCCCTCCTCTGCACGCAACCCTGACCATAGCTCCGTGGCCCTGGTGGCTGTGCCCTCTGGACTGGCCTGCCATGTCTGAAGCCTGAAATCCGTCTCATCTCTCCTCCTCGTTAGCTCACCTCCTTCCCCTGATGATGGCTACTGTGCTGGAAGCAGGAGAACAGGATTTGCACGGCAGCACCACAAGCCTGCATTCTGGCAGCTCTTAGAAAGCCAGGAGACTGGAAGCGAATGGGCCACGAAGCTCCCTGGTCTCCACTGTGACCTCACAGCTCTGCACTACCACACAGATGGCTTCGAAGGCACACTAACACAGAGCTCCACCCCTGAAAGGACTAGCACCACAGACTGATTCTTCTCTCTCCACTTCCGAGTCTGCTGAGAGGTTCCTCATAACAGCCCGAGAACACCAGTGAAAGAGCAAAGGCAAACGCACAGACCCGATCAGAGGCCCCACCTGGGTCTCATCCTCAGCAGGTGCTCTGGCTGTGCCCTCCGGGTAGACGGGTTCTTCTTGGTCCTGAGACACATGGCCATTGGCCTGTGGGAAGAGAAAGGTGCCATCACATCCAGAGAGATGTCCCAGGGCTTTGCATAGATAGCATGGGCCTCTTCTGAGCTCCCACCACGTCCCAAATGTACTCCCATCTCCCCCAGAAATCTGGACTCTCACACAACAGCATCACAAAAGCCTGCTCTCTGATAGTGAGTTTGTCAGGCATAGAAACAGTACAAACAGATTTTAACTCTCGGACAAGAGTGCATCAATTCTGCCCACCACCAGGATGGCATTAGCGCCAATTCCGTCTCAGCCTGAACACTCCAAGTGAAAGGAAGATGACATGGCCACTGCTGGAGACTGATCTCTGACTGCCATCGAGTTTTTTTTCCTGACACTGACCCCAAACTGCCCTTTCTATAACCCACCCACCATCCCTGGTCCTGCCCCTCAGGCCAATGTCCACTATTTTCTTCCCAACTGTTCATAATAAGTCTTCCCTCCTTCCATCCTAAATCTCCCTGGCTTTCTCATTTGGCCCGAAGGAGACAGTTTCCAGACCCTCACTTCCCTATTCTCTCTCTTCTGGCCGGTAACTACTCTCGCATTCTGAAACTGTGCTCCAACCAGCAGGGCACACTATTACTAAGAACTGTCTTGAAACCTGGTCAAAAATTTATTTTAATGCTTCTAAGAATCTACTATGTTTCCCCAAAATAAGACCAGGTCTTACATTACTTTTTGCTCCAACCATCTATATATATTAATTTATTCAAACAGTCATGTCTGACTGATGATCTTAACTGGGGCTTATGTTTGGGGTAGGGTTTATATTACAAGCATCCTGAAAAATCATGCTAGGGGTTATTTTCCAGTTAGGTCTTATTTTCAGGGAAACACGGTATTAGCCTAAGACTACATAAGGCAAACACCTATACTTAAGGAGTTTCATTCTGCTTAGAATTCTAGCTTTTCAAAAGGTTCCTCCGAGGCACTCCTTCAAGTTTTGCCAAACAGTATTCAGAACTGTGAGCCTCCTAATCCCATCACCATTTAAGCTACAAACCCCTCAACTCGATCCCCTTCACCCACTGCTCCCTCCAGGCGAAGGGCCTGGTGTGAGCCCAGAGCAGAGGTGCCTAAGCTCACAGGCCTTTTCCACTAGCATCTTGGGGCACCAATAAAAGGGACAACCTAAGAAACCACTAGCCTGCTGGCCCCAGCCATTCATCCCAGATTAGGACACATACATGGAGCTAATTAAGAAGAGGCAAGCAATGACAGTGGGAGTGAGAAGTAGAAATCACCACCAGCACCAAAAATGCCAAGTAAGAATAAGATAACAAGTACAGCATGCATGTATGGGAAGCACCCCAAACAATGTCTTCATCAACACCTCCAGTTTTCTCTTTGCTTTATGCAAACGTGGTACCCACTGGCCTCCTGGTGTCACCTTGGAGTTTCAAAGTCTTTCAGAGCCTATAACCTGTTTCTACAGAGATAGCTTTTGTATGTCCTCTTTTCTTAGAAAGAGAAACTGGATCTCATGCTGCAAAGCATGTTTTCTTTTCTTTTACCTACTCCCTAAATCAAAATCTACAAATAGTATCTGTCCACAGTTTTGCTTATTCCACATACTGCTTTCCCTAGCAATGACTGCCAGGGCATTACAGGTGAAGGAGAGAGCCCTGGTGGAGCAAGCACTGTGAGAACATCTGCAATCTAGGTGCAGCTTGCTTGTGGAATTATCTGTTTTTCTGGCTTGTAGATCTCACCAGAACAGAGGATGTGAGCTGACACGCAGGCCCTCTGAAAACACAAGAGATCAGAGGAGCGGCATCCAATTAGAACTGGCACATAGTGTGACTTGTAGGTGTGGTCTGGAAATTTCTGGTTAATGACAGGAAGCTTAAAACCTACTCTTTTCATTGAAAAACCCACCTGAAGGTTCTTTAGGGGAAAACAATGTCGTCAGGTTACTCTCCTAGCTCCCCATAAACAGAGAATAGGGCTCAACCAAGCAGAGGGAGTAGCAGGAGAGAAAACCTGTCCAGCCAACAGCCAGCCAGGGCTCAGGAAAGAGTTAAACGCCAGCTGGGGAGAAAGTGTGCTCAAGCCAACAAGGGAGTGAGTTTACAGCAGGTAAAGCATGCTATCACACTGGCCTTTATGCCTCAGTGCCCGTCAGAGCTGAATCAGGGGGCCCGGCCGTGTCAAAGGAGGTGATCATCAACAAGAGGCCGCAGCCACCCACATCCCGCGTGGGAACCGACAACGGGAGTGCCATGCCAGCTCTAAGTAGCTCAGAGCTCTTCAGACATGACATCACACTGGTCAATCCTCCCAACATCCTGGCAAGAGCAAGGCCTCATTTCATTGTTGAAGGCTCAAAGTTCATCCAAGGTGACCAGTCAGTGACAAACTGGATGTGGAAACTAGATCTTCTAGGTCCTACTCCCCTCTCTATTGTCCAAGCCCTATAAATAAAAGGGTCACTAGGGCACTTAAGTCCATCTATGGGACACCATCAAGTCTTACACAGTGGTTAAGTCCACCGGTCTCACTCTAATCCAACAAATGATTTGCATGTCTACCGCAGCCAAAAAAGGGGCCACATACTAAACCTGACACGCTCTGGGGAGGCCAGCATCACGTGAGGGCCTGACAAACCCAGAGACCGAAAGTAACCACCTAAGATGGTCTGAACATAAAAATTCCTAACTAAAAGCAGGTCATGGCAAGTAGTCACATCCTTGGCCTGGAGCTTCCTTGACAAAGGTCAGTCTTTACCTTAAGTGAGCCTGTCTGTGTTCTTTTTGCATCTAAGATAACGTGCCTTTGAATTGCCAGAGTGATCCCTTTTTCCAGACCCCTCAGGGCACAACTTCCCACCAGAGCACAAGACCACAGAGCCCCTCATTATCTTACTGCCCACATACCATCTCTATGTGCTGTAAATGTTAGCTATCCTGTACCCACCCATGTAAAAGTATGTGTCTCTCCATTTTACTTTTTATCCAATCCCAGAGATTTCCCCGTTTTGCTTTCTCCCGTCCGCTTAACCTACCACCAATGAATTTCAGGTAAACCTCCTTACGTCTGCTCCTTTGATTCTAATGTATAAAATAAGCTATAATACTGCCATTCTTGGGCCGGCCAAGCGGCGCGTTGGTTAAGAGCTGGCTTGGGATGCCAGAGGGCCCCGGTTCGGATCCCACATATGAGGGCCAGTGACACTGCCCTCCACAGCTAAGATGCTGAACAACAGCTCAACCTGGAGCTGGGCTGCCGTGAGTCACCGTCGGTGTCGCTGGCGTAGGCTGCAGCCCCTGTGGCAGTGGGTTGCCATGGGCTACCATGTGTAGCCAGCAGCCAGCTTGAGTGGCCAGCAAGCCGGCAACTGATCTGCCTCACCCGGGAAGAGCGCAATGATGGTGCCAACTTGGCCCAGTGAAGCAACGTCCTCCACAACTAGACTGAAGAACAAAAAGAACAGCAACTTGCCTGTCCCCCTTCCCCCAATTTCCCAGCGCTGTTCCCATCCCCCAACAATAAAAATCTTTAAAAAACAAACAAACAAACAAACAACTGCCATTCTCTGGAGCGTTTTCTCAATCTGTTGAGATTTTGCTTCCCAGCAATTGTCATCAGTTTGGCTCAAATAAACTCATAAAAACTTCCTACAGGTTTGGACGTTTCTTCCTTTGACACTACCTTCCTTTCCTCTTAGAGAGGCTTTCTGAGGGCAGAGGCAATGTATTACTCATTTCTGTACTTCCTGTGCCTGGTTCATAATTCAGTCAGTATGCTGCTCTCGGCTTACCATTTCCAGGCCCCAATGGGATGATGATAAGGCAATGTGCTGTTCACTCGCTTGCCAAGCACTGCGCCGCCCAGGCCGTGCCTGGCAAGGGAGGCGCTGGCCTTGTCTCGATCACTGTGTTTCCTCATTCTCCCTTTCCTCTACATGCACCTTTGTCCCTACGTGCCTTGTGATGGTTACTAAGGAGCCACGTTCCCCACCCAGCTAAGGAAGACCATGCGTAGGGGAGCGATCTGAATAGAACTAGATTTGAAGAGTTATGAGTGAGTTTTCTCAAAATATTTCTGGGAAAATGAATTTTTAAGAAATGATCATTGGTATATATTAAACAACCACAAAAAAAAACAAAAGAAAACATGCATTATCATCTCTGAAAAAAGCCAAAACCTGAGTGTGATGTCAAGAAAGTATCATTCATGCATCAGCAGACAGCAAGGTTGCACGTTATCACGACACTTAAGCTCCCACCCCACTCCCACAGTGCAGCCCTCCCGCTGGCAGAGATGGCCAGAGACTACAACCGGACCCGTACCTGCTGATTTTCCTGAGCCTGGGCGGAGGGAACAGAGGTGGCTTGTGCTTGTGAAGAAGGGAGGCTGGGTGAGGTAGGAGGTACTGTGCTGGCATGAGGCTGGGTCAGGAAGGCCTGCTGCTCGGGCAAGTCTGGGGACAAGGTGGAGGCACGAGTCCTGCCCTCCTGGGAGATTACAGGCTGCTGGCCAAGCACCAAGAGCACCAGCTCCTCTTTCTCCCGGCACATTTCGGTAGAGATGTCATGGAGGTTGAGATAGTCCCTCAGGTCCTTCACCTTCATCTTCATGAGCTCCTCCCGCTGAAAGGCTGTTGCTCGGAATCGTTGGCAGAGAAGGCAGAGGCGGGGCCCATTCCCCACTTGGCTCGAACAGGTCATGCAGAAACTCTTCTTACAGTCCAGGCAGGTCTGCTGCTTGGAGCAAGAGACACAGGAAATCATGTCAGAGTGTGAGAACAAGATGGATTGGGCTGGGAGCCTAGGGCTGCCAAGCCCAGCGAGACCACCAATCACTGTTACTTTAAATAAGCTATCTCCTGTACCTAAGGATACAGGCCAACTTGCAGATGTCAGGTTCAAAGCTGCTCAGAGGTATCAGAACCCCATATGCATCTGTGTATCCACGTACAGGACACTACTTTTATTACCCCATTTGAGGCCTTATTTATTTTACTGATGGAGAAATGGAGACTATTAATTAAAACTACCAGCTTTAGAATAAAAAACCCCTGCATTTTTATTGTTTCCCTCCTCCAGTTCTTGTGGTGTCACCTTGGGTATACCACTTAGCATCTATGGCCCTCAGTTTCCTCATCTGTAAAATGGGGGTGAAAACAGTATCTACCTCATAGGATTGTTGTAAAGTTAGGAGATAATGCATTTAGTATATCTGACACAGGAGTCTTCAATAAGTAACTTTCAGTTATTATTGCTATGAAATATGAGCTAATGATGACAGCCAGGATTCAAATCCTGAACTATGATTCTTTCTACTTTATTGCTGAGATAAAAAGGCAAAGCTATAAGGCCAGCGAGTGGCTCATTGGTTGAGTTGGCTTGGGAAGCCAGCTCTGTGCAGCAGGGCCCCGATTCGGATCCCACATGAGGGCCAGTGACACTGCACCCTCTACAGCTAAGACGGTGAACAACAGTTTGACCTAGAGTTGGGCTGCCGTGAGTGGCCAGCGACGGCACAGGCCAGCAGCCAGCGTGAGCGGCCAGCAGCCGGTGAGAGATACCACGAGTGGCCGTCCAATGGCCAGCAACCGACTGCCTCAGCCAGGAAGAGCGCAATGATCATAATACCAACATGGGCCAATGAAGCGACGTCCTCCACAACTAGACTGAAGAACAAAAGGACAGCAACTTGTCTGTCCTTTTCCCAATTCCCCGATTCCCCAACGCTGTTTCCCTCCCCCAATTCCCCAATAAAATCTTAAAAAAAAAAAAGAAAGCAAACCTATGGTGGTTATTATTATTAATTAAATTTATTGAGGGGCTACTATGTGCTAGAGCTGTAGCCAGCTTGTGACTGAATTCTCAAAGCCACCCTGCAAAGTAGGTATTCGTGTACCTCCCTGTTTCACCGACAGAGAACTGAGGTCTAGAGTTGTTAAGTATCACAATCTAGAGCAGGCAGTACAGCAGAGCTAGGCAGCTCACACTCAAGGTCTTCTGAGTGTAATGCCCACAGTCATGCTCCTTCCACCAGGCCACGTGGCCTCACTCGGTTCCCTTCACGCCAACAGCAGTGCTGAGTCAAAGGCCTGACTCCCTCTCCAACCTCCCAGCCTGGTGCCCGGTCCCCAGAGGCCAGAGCCCCGGTTCCCCCACTCCATGAAGGTCCACTCAGAGTGCTGGGAATTCAGTGGTACATCAGAGCACATCCAAGACAAATATTTAGACAGCTCCAGGAGGGCATCTGGGCATGATTAGGAAGCTCTCGCTTGAGAAAGTACAGGGTGTCTCAGGCGGGCAACAAGAGCGCCTGGCAGCAGCAACCCCCACCATCACAGACAACACAACCCACGATGGCTTGCTCAACTCACAGGAAGCCAATCCTCAGCCTCTTGCCCCACTGGCTGAGCGGGCGCAGTGACATCTGGCGGCTCCGCTGCCGCCAAGCGCGGGCCGCACTCCCACAGGAGAGGCAGTCCCAGGGCACGCAGGGCCGGTCCTGGAAGGCACACTCACTGATCGCTTAAAGGAATAGAAAACTTTTCACTCTATCGTGACTTCAGTCTTAACCTAAATGTTTCCGCTCACTCCTGTCTAAGTATAGAAAGCTATTCAAGCTAACAAGAATGCCCAAGAGACTCAGATTCTCATAGTCAAAATCACAGACACTTGTGTGGGGCTGAAGCACAGTCTGCATAGCTGAGACAGTTATATTTAGTCTAAGTGTCATTTATGTAGTAAAGGGAAACAGGCATCATGTTTACCATCCAGTTCTGACTCATACTTAGAAGGCATTGCAAAAGGACATATATCAAACTCCTTTATTCTCTAACACAGTTATAACCAGAGAATAAAATGTCCGCAGACTGGACTTAAAAGGTTGTACAGCTGCACTAGCATCGTAACGGTCTGGGACCAGTAGCCACTCAGGTGGAAAATGGACGTTTCGAGGTCCTGGGGGTTCATTCATAGCTAAAGCTTTTCTATCGGGACATGAAATGTGTTTAGGATGACTGATAGTGAAATGAAGAGGCTTCAATATCATAAAGCGGTAGGTCCTGACGTGGAACATTTCTTAAGTCAAGGCAGTTTGACAAAACCTCGTTTGACACAATTCAAAAGCCCTGCGTTGCTCAATCAGCCAGACCTAAACAGCTCCCTATTCTTTCCTCCAGTGTGTGTGGCTTATTGGGAGCAAGATCAGAATGCAAAGGCAGCAGCCCAGCTTCTGTGTCCATGGTCTCCTCCCCCTCCCAGGGACTCTGAAGTCAGCCTGCATATGAAATGTACCCTAAAGGAGAAAGACTGTGCTCGAGGCTAAAATCCCAGTGGGCAGAGGCAGGAGAGAACAAAGGAAAAGGGGAAAATGGCTGCCAACAAATGTGGGTGAACGAGCAAGTAATCACGCATACATGAATTCTAGCAAATGGTACAAACCAACTGAGTAACCAGGTAGCATGACAGATGGATTAGTGGAGCCCATGTGCCTACATAAACGCCAAGAGTACACACAACCATCCAGCATTAAAAGGGCCGGCACCACTTTTCCGGGAGTCTACGTGGGTTGCTCCCCTTGGCTAATGTGCTCTGCCCCTATTCCTACCCCCTCCCCACCCATATGCCCTGGCACAGACCCCGCCCACTTTCTCACTGACCAGCCCCTCCTCCTCACCGTCCTTCCTACAGGAGTTCTCCTTTCTGCAGATCACTGAGAGGGGAAGGGCAGCCAGAGGAGTGACACAATCAGGACTCAGTCCTGGCTGGTCACTTCCTGGCCAAGGGAACTTGTGTGAAACCGACCACCTCCCAGAGCATTAGATTCCTCACCTGTGAAGTCAGGTGCTCAGCCTACCTTTAAAGACTAGCGGAAGTATCACATGAGATTATAGAAAACCTCAGCATAAGGCGGGAATACTCACAAAAGGGTAACAGTCCCCTTTTCCTCCCTTTCCCCTGGGCCTCATCTTTGAGCGTTTGCCAGTACCTAGGAACCACCCCTCTCCTCCCACTTTGGGATTGGAATATCTCTTCCATGTTTCCTAGCCAACCTCCTCCTCCTCAAACTGGTCCACCTAAAGAGGCTGGGTACCAAACTCCCTCCAAAATCATCAGAGCTGCTATTAAACCACATGTCGGTATTTCGAATACAGATGGGATATTTGGCTTGTGGGGAAATTACAGCTTGCCATTTCTGCCCAAGACTGGAAACTAGGAAGGCAGGGGGTGAGAAATCTTACTTATATACTCTCTGTAAAGTCCTAAAAGTTATCTGTGCTTTGTGCCAAATGAGCATTCAGAAAATACTGACCACAATAAAGGAAAAAAGACAGCAGGATCCATGTAATCCTTTCAATGCAAGGATTCTAGAAAAGACACTTTGAAAGCCTGTGGCTGTGAAATGCCAAACCCTTATGATAAGAACGCTGATCCACTTAAGCATAAAATTACAAATGAAAGATTCTAATAGGGGAAAGCATCCTTAATATTCATGAAGTTCATTGTGAATCACACAAAATGATTTCTTAGCAAGAAAATGTTGTACCCATACCATCTTTTACTATCCATACTGGAACTTGTCTTCCCCTCTGCAAAAGCTCTTCTCGCTACGGATGCTTTCTCCTTGTGTCTTTCAAGGGTTATGTGTTTGCCCCCACCTTCCTGTCAGACTGCAAGCTCCCTGGTAAGCCGGGATGACTTACTTCATCTCTGCCTTCCCAGCCCAGGCAATGCCTGACACACAGTAGAGAGTAAGTTATTTCCCATTGAATATGGGAAAGTTCTTTAATCATTTGCCATGCTGCTAGGCACCCAGGCCAATATCCTGTCATCGCTTGATCTTCCGCTCCTACATTTCAGCTGTCTTCATATGCTGTGTGCCCCTCTACCTTAGTAGCTAAGTACCTTAGTGTCTCTGAGTCCCATATTTTTCTTCTGTAAAATGAGTTAACAACTGCTCCTTCACAGGGCCTGGCACGAAGAGTTAGTTGCTCACTAAACGGTAGCTACATCCATCGATCTCAGCCCCCACCCTAGACCAGGCTCTGCGAACTTCTCACCAGGTGTGTTAAGGGCTTCCTAAGCGCTACTCCGATCGCTAATGAAGCCACGTCTGCTACCTGAGATAGGGCTGATCAGGTTGTTCCTTTGTTCAAAACCTTTCTGATGCTTCCTGGTCTGTGGCTACCAGCTCCTTACTATGGCAGTCATGGCCCTTCACCGACGAATCCCAACTTTATTCTACCCTAACTTCCCACATACCCTGCCCTTGGGCCAAAGAGACCACTCAGTTCCCCAATACACCTTACACGTGCCCCACATCTGGTGCCTTTACTTCAGCCACTGCTTTGCAAATCAATAAACCTTTCGTCATCCAGCAAAGCTAGAAGGATCGATTTACCAACAACGCCTGATTCCCTAGTACTTAACTTACGCAGCGGACTGTTACTAGTCCTTGGCAAATGTGGGCCTCCTTAACCAGACAGTAAGCTCCCTGAGGGAAAGGCCTAGGTCTTCCTCGGCTCTGTCTCCACAAAACAGGAGCCTCTAGCTGCGAGCATGCTGCTGGTACAGAATTGGGCCCTCTGTGACTATCTCCAGCATGGAATCATCAGCCATAAAGTCATAAAAACAGAAACTCTCTGGTCTACTTCCCTTTTTTTACATTGTTCTCAACTCAACTGTCCATTCATTCATTGGTTTATTTAAAAAATTTTATTGCCTGCCTACTGTGCATTGGTCACTGTTCTACACACTGAGGATAAAAAGCTGTGAATAGCACTGACAAGCTCCCTGTTCCTGTGTACCATCCGGGAATAGAGGCAGTCCACAACATTTATGTCAGGTGGTGATAACCACCACAAAGAAAAAGCATCTTTCATCCTCACCTATCCATCAGTTTCCCGTCTTTGGGGGTGGTTTCCTCACTCATTCACAGTCTCTCTTCTGGCTGAGAAATGTCAAGAACTCACTAGATACCCTGGTTCTTCCGAGTTTTCAACACGCTTGACATGCTCATCCCCAAGCTTGGATCACCATCGTTGTCCTCTTTGCTTTTTCTCTCTCCATTTGCACTCCATAGACTATAACTGACATTTAACAACAAGGGGAGGAGGGTCACAATGCCCCTTTGGATACTGAGGAAATGTAGTTAAGTTTTTGAGGAGTTAAAAGTTATACACAGAGGCGGCCAGTTAGCTCAGTTGGTTAGAGTGCAGTGCTCACACCATCAAGGTTGCCGGTTCGAACCCTGTATGGGCCACTGAGCTGCGCCCTCCACAACTAGATTGAAAAAAACTACTTGACTTGGAGCTGATGGGTCCTGGAAAAACACACAGTTTGCCAAGTTAAAAGAAAAAAAACAAAAGTTATACACAGACTTATGACTGCATGGGGTATCAGCACCCCTGACCCCGACATTGTTCAAGGGCCGTGCGTGTGTGTGTGTGTGTGTGTGTGTGTGTGTGTGTAATGTGGAGGTAACTACCAAAAGAATCAGCCAAAAGAACTGAAAGCAGTTGCCTCTGAGGAGAGCAAAATGAGAAGGGGAGTTCTACTGTTTGTAACTAACTTTGTTGAACAATTTGACTGTAAGTTGTGTACTTATATAACTGTAATAATGTTTTAATTGTTGAAAAACAATCAACTGTTTTCACCACTAGGTATAAAGAAAAAAAAGATTCACACAAACGCGCTGCAAATTCATGCTGCCTCATTTAAACAAGGCTTTTCCTTGCTTTCTTGCTGATTACTTTGCCACTTCTACCGGCAGTTTATTCCTAGCATTTCTCAGTGTCATAGAGCAAAAACAGCAAGATCTGTGGCTATCCAACAGACTCTAACTTCGTGTGCCTGAGTCCTTGAAACTACTACTTTAAAGAGAAAAATTTCTTCATCTGTAAAATGGGAACAAATGACAGTACATATTTCACAGGCTGTTGTCAAGAGTCAATGAGATAAATCATTTGAAAGGCCGAACGCAGTGCCAGGCATGTGACAAGTACCCAACAGCCTTCCTTCCATCTCATCTCAGGTCCTAACTCCATTCCACCATCTCCATCACTGAGGAAACTGGGGCCATGTGACATCGCCTCAATCTATTGACTCAGCCTTCCGGTCTAAGTATAAAGGAGGGCACCTCTGCCCACCAAGCCACGGCTCCTTGGCTCCGCGGCAGCTCTCTGGTTGAGTTCCCATAGTGCCTGGGGTAGCCAAGCAAATCACAACAAAGCTCAGCTATGCGCCCCCCTTCCCTGCACTACAGTGAAGGGCAGGCAAAATACAGCCTACAAGGCAAGACGCCAAGCCTCCAGCATCCCACAGCTACAAAAGGGTAGGTGGTCAACACTTCAAGCGGCAGAAATTCTGACATGTCTTCTGGGAGATAACCTGCGAGTCACAGACCTGGGTTTGAATTCTGGCTCTGCCATTTAATAATTATGTAATCTTCGGGCACTACCGAAGTAGAGGGAAGAGAATGAGTATTTTAATGTCTCTTACGCCATTTTTCAGGAACTTGACATGCCCAGTTTCCTTTTAACTGTTAAACTCCAGCTCTTAGCTCCTCATGTGTAAGATGGGAATGTAAGGACCCTAAAACCTATACCACAGAGTTATTAGGAGGATTCAGTGAAACAAAAAATCTAAATTGCTTAAAACAGTCCCTGGCCAACAGCAGATGGTTTAAAAATAATTGTTTCCTCTCAAAATTCCCATTATCGCCATTTTAACATCACACTCTGGGCTGCAAACCTCTGGTTCTACAGCAAAATACAGAATGCAGGCGTTCTTTCTCTGGATCAGGGTTCACCATCGGCCCCAGTCGTGCCTGACCACAGAACACACAGCCTCGGGGTGCTGACAAAGGCAGGGCCCACACCCACACACCATTACCCAGCGTCATTTTGCCTCCCACTCGCTAATCTGGAAAACATAGCTATGATACATTTCAAATGAAATCGCTACAGTAAATAAGCACCAGTCTTTGTGTTGTTAGGGTCTTGATGCACTCGAGATGTCCTTGACATTGCTTTCAGTAATAAAAAAACTAAAGTTATTCTGAGTCAGGCTTTTTATGATGGCAGTTTGGCAATAACACCAAGGGCCAGTATTATACTGGGAACCCTTCGTAATCTTATCTCATTTTATTCTCACATACTGTGAGATGGGTATAACTTTTACATCCCCATTTTATAAATGGGGAAAATGAATCCCAAGAAAGGTTAAGACATATGGCCAGGGAGTGGCAAAGCTAACATATGAAGTCAGGGCTAGCCGACTCCAATCAATGCCGATGCTCTGGTTTCGCTGTTAGTTTTTCTTCAGCATGCTTGTGACAGGGAACAGATCCGGGCTACCAGTGTTGCACAGCAAAGGGAAGGCGGCAGGCACGATAAGCCAGCAGGGGCCCACGGTGGCAGCACTCACCTTCCGGGCCATGTTTGTGAAGTGGGCCCCGCAGGCCCTGCAGCTTGGTTCCGAGCCCGTTGGGGAAGGGAAGGAGCTGTACCCGGGGTTGGAATAGGCCTGCGTCCTGGCTCCCTGGGGTGCGGGGGCCTCCTCAGGCTGTCCATCCAGGCAGAACCAGTTGCAGCAGGTTGCCCACATGATAAAATCTGGTGCAAGAGAGGAAAGGGGACAAGGTCAGAGTTAAGACACATCTCTGTGGCGCCACCATGCTGAAGGGCACAGGTGAGCAGGGATACTCAATTCACAGCTGCCGCCAGAGGAGGGGTGAAGACGTGTGTTTAGGGGCCACGGGTTTCTTGCCATCTCCTCCCCCAGCACAGCTGCCTTCACACATAAGAGGTGGGTATAGACATCTGATCTGCCAGGACCGCATGGGCTGCCAAGTTGGCACACTACCTTTGAAAGGTTGCTGCTGATCCCTGTTTGGGTTTAATCTGAGATCTAACTTCAAATAAAATCTTTGGCCCTAGCAACTACAAGTGACCTAACACCCACTTGGTTCAGGAACATGACCTTGTCCCTACAGCTCAGATAGACAAAACTTTATCATGTGCACACACGCTAGTGTATGATTCCACACTCACACAGATTGTGTGAGGAGGGATTATTTCCTTTATAGAGATGAGGCAAACCCGGGCTCAAAGGAGCAAAGGTCATACAGCTAATCTAGCAAGAACTGAGACTCTGAAACCCCAGGTCTTCGGTCTCTAAACCCGATGCTCTTCTCCCGGTACCATGCTGCTGCCCCGCTTCCGTTTACCCTCCCACCAGCCAGCAGAACTAACTACTCTTACATGTGGACCTGCAACCCTACATAAACTCCCATCGCAGCACCGTAACAGTCTGTTGCCCAGACATGCTCATTCTTTGTTTTCTACCACTGACCATAATAAGTTCCTTGAGGGCAGGGACCACTTCTTACTCATGTCTGTACAGTGTCATACACATAGCAGATGCTCAACAAACATTTGCTTCCTTGCTGAACCAGTGCCTCTGAGGGCTTATTAAGAAGTTTTGGATTAATGTTCCCATTTTACATACCAAATACAGGCACTAGGGACAAGGGGACTGAGAATTTTTCAAGGTCCCTCGAATGTCAGAATAGCCTAAAGATTGCAAGACAGGCCACTAAAATGCCAAGCTCAGGCACGCGTCTGCGTGTGAAGAGCGGGGCAGGTTACGAAGTGTGCTCTTCTCAGTAGGCCAAGGCGCTCAACGGAGACATTCTGAGCCTCAACCCCATTTACAGAGATAATACATGGAACACTTAGTGTTATTACTCAATAATCAGTTCACACAAAAGAATGGTACTTTCTGCTTTGCCTCCTGACTCACTGAAAGTGCCTTTGTTAAATCATAGTTCAAAGATGTGATAAGCTGGAAGGAACTAAGAACCCAGCGGATTCAACCTTGGTCATTTCATAGAAGAAAAGAAAAAGGCCAAGTAGAGGGAGGAACTTCCTGGTTCACACAGCTATAACCTTAGGCCTCTGGCAACCCTATAGGGCCTTTTCAGCTTCCCAACACCCCTCCTATATACCTGTGATACAATTCATTCACTCTTGTAGGTGGGTCCAATTAACACCTGTCTCCCCCTTGCCTGTGACCCCATGAGAACACGGACCATGACATCATACAGTGCCCAGCAGAGAGGTGACTCAACAAGGATTACTGAATGAATGAATCACACACAGTATCTGAATCTTAACTAAGCACGTATTTGTTCCATTTCCTACACATCAAAAACATTCCTCTCTGGGGCCGGCCGAGTGGCGCGTTGGTTAAGAGCTGGCTTGAGACGCCAGAGGGTCCTGGTTCGATCCCACATATGAGGGCCAGTGACGCTGCCCTCTACAGCTAAGATGCCGAACAGGAGCTCAACCTGGAGCTGGGCTGCCATGAGTCGCCTGCAACGGTGTAGGCTGCAGCCCCTGCTACAGTGGGTTGCCATGGGCTACTATGTATAGCCAGCAGCCTGCGTGAGTGGCCAGCAGCCAGCGTGAGCGGCCGTCCAGAAGCCGGCGACTGATCTGCTTCACCCGGGAAAAGCGCAATGATGGTGCCAACTTGGGCCAGTGAAGCAACGTCCTCCACAACTAGACTGAACAACAAAAGGACAGCAACTTGTCTGTTCCCCTTCCCCCAATTCCCCAGCGCTGTTCCCATCCCCCAATTCCCCAATTAAAAAAAAAAATCTAAAAAAACCATTCCTCTCTGACTCACTATCACTTGTCTGAAGGCTAAATTCCCAGAAGACAGGACCTAATCTGCCTTACTTGCAACTAAGACAGCATGTGATAATACAAGGAACCGGGGATCTAAAATCAGAAGAACTGGGTCCCAAGCCTTGCTTTACTACATAGGGGGCTGTGTTACCCACTTCTAACAAATCATACCTTTCTGTACTCTATTTATCTCATCTAGACGTTCTCCAGGCTGTGAAGCACTAAATAAACATTAGTTGTCACTACTAGTATTATAACAATACTTTAACTACAATTTCTCCGGGACGGTACAGGCAAAAAGTAAACATAAACCTTGTCACCACAATTACCATTTGGCTTTCTGGGCTTGTCCTAAAAACAGACAGACAGATCTTTGCCAGAATTAGCAGGATGTGTCAATGAACTGGAGAGCCGGGGGTCAGGGGGAAGAGAAAAATCTTGGCGAACCCCAGGGTCTCTGAATTACACAACAGGATAGAGAGTGGAATCATTAACTGGGATCAAGCCCCCAGGGGAAGGCATGTGTCTGTGTGTGAAGGAGGGAGAGCAGGTTAAGAGGATGAGCTTTGTGCTAGGGGGATGCGCTGATGTATACATAGCACACAGGGAGATGGTCTCAGTTGAAGATGAAGGTTTGGGAATCCCCAGCCTACCACAAGTACGTAAAGTCTGAGGAGGGCAGAAGACTGACGGACAGCCTGGGTTCAGAAGAGAGGCGGGTCTGGGAGAACCGCTGGGAACACCTGATCTAAAGGGCAAACGGGAAATCCAACCAGCAGAACAGAGAAAAAATGCCCAGAGGCGGGAAAACTGGAAGAGTGATTTGAGTTTCAAGAAGAAATTACCAGCACTGTCAAGACCCACAGAGTAGAAGACAATAAAAAATGCAAAATGCCCAATGGACCTAGTTTTAAGAAAACGTTGAGTGTGCTTTTTGCGTGAGCAGTTTAGGAAGAGTGAAGCCCACTGATAACTACTGGTTGGAAAGTGAATGAGTAGTGAGGCTTTGTCAGACTCTAAGGATAAATTATCCTTTCAAGACACTTTTGACTGTGAAGAGGAGAAGGCAGTAGTTGAAGAGGACCCAGGTCACTAAGCTAAGAGAAATGCAGACATATTCACAGACTGCAGAGGAAATCCCCAAAGACTAGGTAGGTAGGACATTATAGAAGAAGGCAAGCTGGCAATAAATGATGGGAGTAAGGGCGAGGAGTAGACAGAAAAGAGACCAAGTGATGAGATGCCGGTGCACTACTCCTGGGCAAGAAGAAAAGTCACCTCTTTCAGAGAGTGGCACACAGGTGAAGACAGATGTAACCAAAGATGAAATAAAAAGGAAAGGCGGGGTGTGGGAGGTGATTGTGTTTAACCACAGGAAGAAAACCAACTTTTCTTCCACACCAGGAATCTACATGTTGCAATTTTTTCCTAACAGATAAGGACTTTGCCACATAATGGGTAGAACCACTTGGTAAGGCACATCAGTAGAAAAAAAACAAGAAAGTTGGCCAGCTGTATATTGTCTCATGTGCTTTACAAGCACTTAGGAAGCACCAGCTCTGTGCTGTGCACTGGGGACACCAAGAGCGATTTTGAGAAGGTCCTTGTTCCCAGGGGACTTCGGACCCAGGAAGGCACTAGAGCTCAACTAGGCAGTCCTGACACAAGAGCTAAGAAAGCCCTTCCTTCGCTGGGAGTCAAGAGAATCCATCCTCTCAGCACTATTTTCATTCTCTCAACCTTGGTTCCAATCTTAACTGCTTCCTCCTCTGAACAGCCCTGAAAGAAAAGCCATTGGCCTGCTCAAGTATGTGGCTACTCTTAGGAGGACTGGGCTCTGGGAGAAGACTTGAAACTTGCCACTGTTATTCCACAGGCCCTGTGTTTAGGTGAAGAGCAGTCTTATCCTGGGGATCTGTATATGTGGAGAAGGCGTTATTAAAGAAAGGGCTGGGTGGAAAGACTCTCCGGTACTAATATACCGTAGACCCGCTCACTCGGACAGAACAGGTTCACCCAAGTCTAGAGACTTGGCTTTTACTCTTTTTGACATATATTTAAATACCAAAAAGACACATTTCCTAATGTGGTCACTTAAAAGTACTCTCTTGCCAAACTGGAAAGCCCTACACCTAAATAACTATATTCAGGGAATGAAAGGGAAGAGTTTATAATCTTAACACTGTCATACAAACTAAACGCTTTTCTCTCGGGAATATTTTTCCATCCCTTAGTCCTAAGCAGATACACGTACATGGCATCCGATTATGTTACTGAAGGACTGAAAGTGGAACCAATTGGGAGGGAGGGGAGGGGAGTGTTGTATAAAGAATTCTATGTTGACAACTTTGGAAAACGTCTCTCTCTGATCTGCAAACCTCCTTCTAACCGTGAAAAAAAAATTATTAATAATATTATCAAATCTTCACGGAGGGCTTGTAAATTCCTTCTCTAATTCCCCATACCCTCTTCAGACAAGATGGACTTGGCGACTTAATCCTCACATACAGCCTCTGACTGCTCTCCTACTGACTTTGTTTGAAACCTGCCAGCCTCTCCCCTCCCACTTTGCCTAAAGGGAAGAAGGATGGGAGATGGAGGGCTGGGGCAAACATGAAAATTTACTGTTCCCTGTGGGAGAACCCTGTGGTCTGAGGCAAGAATGGCTAGCTAGCACATGGGGTTTTGTCAGCTTGATAAGTATGCTGGTGTTTCTTGGTAGACCGAGCCCTGCTGAACAGGAAAATTACAGTGTTAACCACAGGGTAAGATAAACGATCTATCCCAGGTAGGCTGAGCACAGAGTTAGAGACAAGAGGGTGGGGAGCGCGATTTCTCCCTGCAATCACTTCACCTGTTCACCTGCCCAAGTCAAATAATTTTAAGTGGATTTGTCATTGTCGTGGGCTTCCCCACAGAAG